ATTAGTGGTGCACGTTGATACGGAGGCGGAGGCACTGGTGCTTGACTCTTCGAAAGTTATATGATATTAGTCGAGACTGGAGCTTGCAAGACAATCATTTGTTCTATAGTCAAAAAAAAAAAAAAAAGAAAAAAAAGGTGTTCATTGTCGCATGTAGCTGCTGTTAATCACCAATAGCGAAAAACCGTATGTGTATATATTGATAATTTCTTTTAACGCCTAATAGTCTCGCACACTTTACCCCTCAATCAAGTACACAATAAGAGTTCACACATTAGATGGTACAAAATAGATATGGCGTTTATGTGTATTTTAAGATAAGAATCGCGTTCGTCGCGCCATATAACTTAATTCACTGTATACTGCCGTACGTATACAGAAATAAAATAACATTCATCTCGTTCATCTTACAAATTATACCTTTACTCTGCTTTACGCATTTATTTCGGCTTATCCTCGTTTATATAATAGAAAAGTGCCTCCAACTGTGTCCGTATAACAAAAGGACAAATCTCACTCGAAGCAGGTATATACCTATGATGCTTACCCGTTCGCGCAACAGCGCAAGAAAAAAATACAAGGAAATAATAGACAAAAGGAAGCAGCAGGCAAAGTTGTAGCCGGCGCTACGTAGGTATGTGTATATAGGTCTGACGGTGTGTGCGTGTGTGGGTGTATTACATATATATTTGTATACACCAAGTGGAAGTTGAAAGAAGAAAAAAGGGAGGGGTGTATACTCGATATCGTTCCGCTTGGCCTTTTCACGTGTATATTGTACCAGAAAGCCGTGCACGTTTGTATGTATGTATATACATTGCGCAAGCGTCCCGAGAGAGACCATGTGCAGCCTTGTATTTTCTGTCTCTCGTGGAAAAAAAAAAAAAAAAAAAAAAAAAAAAAAAAAAAGGTTTTTGGGCGGTGCGACCTTACCGATCGACAGATCGTTTCCCTTCTTTCCTCCCGGCGCAGGCTCCGACGAGATCCGCCGTTGTTCGGATTCATGGGAACCTACGGGAGTTTTCTATTCTCTTTTTTGCTCCGGGGGGGGGAAGGAAGAAAGAAAAAAAGTCAAATTGACAGGCAGGCTAATTATATAGTCCGTATAAGAGCGTGATAAATCGCACCGGCCATGTATATACTTAACCGGTACTCTCTCGGTGTCTTTCCTATATATCTACACAAGTGGGGCTTTTCTTTAGATCCCCGACTATGGTGATTTCTGTGAAATAGTAACCACGTACATCCTCCCCCTCCCTCTGTGCACTGTAATCAGGGTGGACGCAGAGTTTCATCAATTAAGCAATTTTCCACGCAACCTGATAAACCCATACCTCTCTGTAACCGACGCTGCAAAGGCATGGACAAGACTTTTTTTTTTTTTTTTTTTTCTTCATTTTGCAGTAAAATTTCAATCTTGTGACAATGATAACGTTCCTCTGCTATGTATGTATGAACAAGCGTGCGCCTGTATTCATTAAATACATCACTGGAAAACAACCGCGTCCTGTAAAATAATCCCCGCTACCCGCGTACATGTACAAGGTACATTAAACATAGTAAAACAGGGAGTGGCGTGTGTGTGCAAACTTCCTCCTTCTTCGCGTGCAATAAAGTAGTCATTCGTTCGCGGCTAATTACCGGCTCCGAAAAAAAAAAGAGGCAAAAAAAGGGGAGACGACGAAGCGACAGGTTCCACTGTAATTGTATGTATACCCATCAGGCTTTTTCCGCGAGTTTGTAGATACGACAGAAAGGGAGTATCGGCTATACAATGTACCGCAGGGAGAGAGAAAAGAAGAGGAGGGAAATTCGCGCGTTCGTCGTACATACTTACCTATAATACAAGACGGCACGCGAAGGTCGATATGCCGTTGTCTGTCTCCCCTTTCGTTCTTCCTCTGTGGGTATACACTTACGTATACATTTGTAACATAAACATGGTAAAAAGGTGTACCTATACACTGCACACACTCCGCACCAGGAAGTACCTGTATAATAAATATATCCTCTCTCTCGTCCACTGCTCCTTTTCTTCTCGTTCGCTAAACGCGTGTGTGTGTAAACCATACACGAGCATCTCCCAATGTCGCAGCATCCAGAGGCAGTGCGCGGGGCTGAATAACGTTTGCTTTGGATCTGCGTTGCCACCAGCTCTATTATCTCATTGAGCGCTCGCTCTCCAAGCAGTTCCCCATCGGACGAGACGTGCGTGTAAATTGTTTTGCGCTTCTTTCGTCACGTTTCTCCTTCTCTCTCTTTGCCCCCAACTTTTGCGGCTTTTCTTTTTCCTCTGCGGTCCGAGTGTCTCTATTCGCATGCGCGCGTGAGAAAAAGAAGCGTTGGCCTGTACTTGGTACAGTGCCCGTTTTACCCAACCGCGCGAAGGTCGGGTCGTTTCCGAAGGAATTACAAAGCCCGTGGGTATATATACGTACAACAACAGTACATGCATGTCGAAATAATTCACAGAACTCCTTGGGGCTGCTGGTTTTTGAAGAACCACTTGCCAACCGGAATGTGGAAAATATCATCTGAAAGGAATCAGAAGGTGACAAGGAGAACAAAACAAAAAAACTTTAGATGTACCACGTATATTACGTATCAGCACCTCGGCATGTATTATATACTACTCCTTTCGATTGTGTGTAGAAGCAGCTGAGCCGCAAAGCCGGGCGTCTTGTAAATGGACGTTGTTATTTATACCTATAGGTTGTACGGGACTTTCACGCGGTACGAAACGCGCGATTGTGGATATATATAGGTATTGTATGGGGGCGGGCACGTACATACAAGTGGTAACAGCGCTGGTGTGGAAATACACGGGTGTTTGCTGAAAATTGGCTGCCTGGCGCTTGCAAAATCGGGGCCTCACCGGTGTGAAAGCGCAACGCCGACGACGCAAGAACCGCGGCTGAGTCCCCCCCCCCCCCCCCCCCCCCCACCCGAACCTTCGTGTCTCGGAAGTGCACCAGCTTCTCTTCACCTGTAGACGAGTATCGCTCAGCTTTGGAATCTCCGCGAGATATTATTTTCCAATAGGTTGCATAATCGACTCCGAGCATATATATATATATATTATTTTATACGTGTGTCCGCTACGTATCGAAGGTCCATTATGTATTACGTATAACGGCGCCCCATTACGTATTCGCGCGCGTACAATATAAGTTTCTGCAACACAACAATCGAGCCGATTGAACGATTGCGTGGTTTTTTTTTTTTTTTTTCTTTTTCTTTCGTTGCTTCGGATTTTGCTTCCGCGTGCAGTTGGTACACATAATAATAATGACAAAAGGCTTTTTTGTGGGTTTGTTTTTTTTTGTTTGCCCCCCCCCCTCCCCACCGCGTGCGGTTATTTGCTTCTGTACGGTTACTCCGCAGCTATACGTATGTTGATTATGCATCATCGGCTGGCACAGTTTTTTCTTTTCCTTCCTCCTCTTTTTTCCGGTACACAATGGATGGCTGCGAGCGAGAATCATCTCGTGAAACGTTCACCGTTCACTGGCAATCGTGAATACACGCGCGCATACCGATCATTACCGATCATTACCGATCATACCGATCATACTCATAGTATATAGGCTTACGTACAATAAACATGCTATATATTCACTCTATAAGCTCAAAACTCTTTTATTCTCTTACTACATGAAGTAGGTGAACAAGTTAAATCTCGCGCCCCATGGTAATAATTATGTGTACGATGTAGCTATGCCTAGTGTATTATGCACGTGTCGCTTCGAGGAAATCCGCAATGGTGAAACATAAATTATTGTAATAATAACAAGGCAATTGATAACTCGCGCAGTTGCGGCGTTTTTCCGCGAAAGCTCTTTTAATATCTGCTCGGACGAGCATGCGGTTATTAAGTAGTATTTCTTCAACAAATTCCCAAATGTATAAAAAAAAAAATAATAAAATAAAATAAATGATAAATAACATTCTCGTTGGTAGGCAACAGACCAGAGAATCTTTGGTTCATACATAAGCGCATTTAAGTATATAAGGAAGGAAAAAAAGCACCAGTGATGGTGCAAAATTGAACTTCCGGCCGCTCTTGTACTCGTAACATATTCCACATGTATGTATATATATATATATGCCGGAGCTCGTGGGAAAAAGACGGCCTTATCGCTCTAATGGATTTTGACTGGCGGCGTTTCTTCGCGCACATTCGTATATTACATCCAAGTACATCACGCATCCATAATGCCGTCGTCGTTCACACTCGCTTTCTCTGTACACACGAGCACGCATCACGCGTATATAATTATATATATAAAATGTACTCGTGCACGTGAATCGGCTTTTCCTCGCGCGGAAAATCTCGGGACGAGGGGACGGTAGTGTCGCGCGCGTCGAATGGAAATACATTTTAGGTATACAAATGTAAATTCTGCTTCTTTCTCGCCCGGCGGATACTCCCTTCCTGTCTGCATAAGCGAGTGCATAAGTACCCAGTACCCACAACTCGAGGTTGCCGTGTCTTCTTTCCCTCCTACTCCCCAGCGCTCATTATATCATTTTGCAAGTCGTCGTCGTCTTCTTCGTGCGCCCACGTCGACTGTTCTTTTTTTTACTTTTTTTTTTTTCTTTTCCTTTCATTCTCTCTTTGCGGATGTTTGCGCGAAGGTAAGTAACAGAGCATCGAGTTCCGTTGGGTTTTCCCGAATCGGGCACGTATACGCTTGTGTCAATGTACATGAGAAACATGATTTCTGTTGGCCTATGATGTTATTGTTTGGTTGTCATATCCCGTGACCCCGATATACTGCATGCGCATTAATTACCACTAAAATGACTCGTCAGATGAAACAAGACAGACATTGTTTTTGTTTTCATCCATGAAACATATAAACTTACGTAAACGCTTGGCGATGATGCTCGTTGTACGAACCCTTGCGTATTTCATTTATATAAGTGTGCATCACGTGCACAAAAAGAAAAAAAAAAAAAAAAAACAGGACGATAATTTTGTGCTTTTGTTTTTCCAGAGTTCGGCGAAGGAGCAAAAGGAGGCAGACAGCGAGCGAGTAGGCTGTGTTATGAAATTACTGCCCAACATCTCGTTACCGCCGGTCTCAGTGGCCAGCAGCGGCATGACGAGCATGGACGCTCGCCTCCCCCCGGGGATACCTCTCCCCTTCAGCCCGACCGATCTGCTCTGGCGCTACGGCCCCGCCATGACCTTCACGTCGGGCGCCCACCCACCACCCAGTCCCCTTCTCGACTTCAAGACCCACCTGCCTACCAGTCTCGGTAAGATTTCCTATACTTAATAAAATATGATATATTTTACATGCATTTCTGATACTAATCGTTAAAATGTTTTTTTTTGATCCGATAGCGTCGGACCCACGACTGTGGTCGCGCGAGGACGTGGCGGCCTTCCTGCGCTGGGCGGAGCGCGAGTTCGACCTGCCCCAGTTCGACATGGACATGTTCCAGATGAACGGCAAGGCCCTGTGTCTGCTGACCAAGTCGGATCTCGGTGAGCGGTGCCCAGGTGCCGGGGACGTCCTACACAACGTCCTCAACATGCTGGCGCGCGACTTTAGCCAGCTGCAGCGCTGCCTGCCCGGCTCTCCCGTCACCCCGACCCGGCCCTCGGCCGCCGTCTACCCGTTGAGCCCCCTCTCGCACCCGGGCACCCCGAGTTGGCCCGACACGCCCTACGCGGCCAACTTTGCCTCCCTCATGTCCGCGAACTCGGTCACCCTGTCGCCGGCGCCCTCGGTCGACAGCCAAGCCGGCTCCCCGGGCCACGCGAGCGGCGCCGACGCCAGCGGACCCCTCGGCCAAGCCACCATATACAAGAGCGACAGCGACGAGGACAACCAACAGCCATCAGCCTGCACCAGCAACAACTCGGCCAGCCCGCCCGCCACCCCCACGGCCATTGCCGCCCAACGGCTCAGCGAGGTCTGCATGAAGGACCACCCGAGTCCCACCCTGCCACCCCACGCCCAACAACAGATGATGCAACAGCCCCTCACCCCCGGTGCCTTCAGGCCGGCCTCGGCCTCCTCCTCGTCCTCGTCGTCCCAGCAGCAGTCGCCCGGCGCCGCGGCTCGTGAATTCTTCCCCAGTGGGGACGCACCCGAACCCAACACCAGTACGTCAAACATTTCTCTCAAACACCTTTCCACCAATGTCCTTTTTCTCTATAACAATGTGCTTGTTGTTGCAGACGGGAGATTGCTCTGGGACTTTTTGCAGCAGTTGCTCAACGATCCGACGCAACGGTACACGCAGTACATTGCGTGGAAGAGCAGGGAAACCGGGGTGTTTAAAATCGTCGACCCCCCGGGTCTGGCGCGACTCTGGGGCATACAGAAGAACCACTTGTCGATGAACTACGACAAGATGAGCCGAGCCCTGCGCTACTACTATCGCGTCAACATACTCAGAAAGGTCCAGGGAGAGCGTCACTGTTACCAGTAAGTTACCAGTAACATTATGTACTTACTTTGGAATATTGGCACGTCATGTAATACGCATTCGATGTTTTGTGCACAGATTTTTGCGCAATCCTACGGAACTGAAAAACATCAAGAACATCTCGCTGTTGCGCCAGCAGATGCGGATAAAAACGGAGCCCGAGGAGGAGGGTTCGTTGTCGGGCGGTAGTTGCATGGAGCCCGAGATCGATATGCCCACCGATCTGTCGATGTCGGGCATGAACCCACCGTCGAGTAGCAATCACCATCATCACCACCACCACCACCATCACCATCACCCGTCGCCACCGCCGCATCCGCAGCCCCTGCCGTTGCTCGATCCGCCAGCCAAGTATCGGAGCCACGCTTACAGTCTCGTCAAGACAAATCAAGAATCGTCGTCCCAAGAGGATAGGAAGTGACGCGATGACGATTGAAAAAGCGCCGCTAACCGATTAGACGCTCCTCGTCGTGATGGATCGATCATGTAGATTATTGCCAATGTACACGTTGTACGGTCATTTAATTCTCATCCTGATGCAGGAAAGAGGATACGTCGACGTCCGCGTGCGGAGAGACACGGGCTGCTCTCCGCGAACGTCTGTTTCGATGTGTATTGTCATTATTATTATCATCATCATCGATATTCTTTTTTATTTTATTTTATTTTGTTATTTTTTTTTTTTTTTTAACGAAAGAATTAAAAAAACAAAGAAAAAAAATCATGAATAATCNAATTTTCTGCTTGATACGCGAGAAATTTTGTCTTCTTCCTATGGATGTCTGCAAATTAACAGTATTGTTAAAAAAATTTATATTATATTTTAATAACAATACTGAAATAATAATCATGTTAACTTTATCTTCCATTGAGTAATGGTATTGTATCCATCTATTATTTTACATTTTTTTAAAAAAAGTATGTGTGCATACATCATATGCATTATGTAAGTAGATAATAAGGAAATGAACTTGTGATAGTTGTAATTCAGAAGCTCTGAGTTCAATTTGATTTCTAAGTGTTGCTGTCGTAAGTATATATCTTTAAATAAGTTTGAGAGAAAAAAGTAAAATGGAGTATAAAAAGTAATGTAATACATCTAAATAACGTTTGTAATTAAGTTTCCTAGTTGATGTTTTCGAAGTAGGATGTCTCTGTTAAACGTATGATGAAATAAAAAAATAATAAATAATGATCAGCCGACTGTAGTTAACTTATTATCATTATAATACATTGGACGAAAAAAAAATTTGTCAACAAAATAAAAATAACAAAAAAAGATGTTATATTATGAAATAATACGCATGGGTATATTTTTTGGTGAACGTTTCAGAAAGTAAGCAAGTCTATACATAAATGTATAATGACCCTGTCTCATTAGTTGTCCACGTCATCCTATCGGGTTTTGAAGCCATTGGCTTTCTGCTTCTTCTTTTGACCACGCGACACAAACACAACCGTATAGTGAATTAGTATTATATAGCAGAAGCATCTCCTACGTTATACTTGACAGCTGCGCTGAGCCGCTGAACGTTTGCAAGTATTTATATTATATGCAAGTAAGTAAGTTATAAATTGCACAGTTCAAAGTAAACTGCAGTAAGTAACCAGCTCAGCCAACAAACGTTGCATCAAACGATGTATTTCTATATATACCTACTTACTGGCATGTTAATTAATTAAGTTAGTGGCATACTAGAATTGTCTGCTAGTGTGGAATGCACGAAAAAATAATAGTATTTTGTAAAAAACGACTGGGAGACAGTATACATGTGCCAGAGAGCGACAGAAAAGAGCTGCTGTTGCTGGTGATTTGGTGTGGCGTGTGGTGCAGTAGTGCTGGATGAATTAGTATTTGTCTGTACTTATACTTGATTCCGCAGCAAAATTTTCGCTTCGTCACGAGACATCTAATAATTACTTGTGTACTTGACACTTGATTGTTTTTGGACACGCGGACGTGGATGAGTCAAAATTTACTTTTCCAAAAGTGTTCGTACGTATAATTACGTATAGGTATAGGTTGTACTTATACACACACAACTGGTACGCGCGTACCACCAGGTCAAGAGGGTAGTCGTATAATAGCTAAGTATAGGCAGAGAGAGGATGGACGGGAACAAGGATGAGGCTAATCGGTGCACCGAGCTAGCCGAGCGATGTGTCAGGGAAAAGAGGTTTGACGAAGCAGTGAAGTTCCTCAAGAAGGCCCAGAGGCTATTCCCGACCAAGAAGGCTGAGGGTGAGCTTGTACCATTTGGCTTTAGCTACCTTGCATGGGTGTGTATGTGTGCATGCGTGTGACCTATTAACAAGTTTATGTAGACAATGTAGCTTTTCATTTTTGCTGAGATGTTATTTCATCAATTATGCATGAACTACGTGTTCTTTCTCTTTTTTTTTTTTATTTCGGAGTTTGGTTACACGCTAACTTACGTTTTTTAACAAATACTTACATGACAGCTTGTAAAGATTACTCGTATTTTTGATAATTTAGTTTCAGATTGTTAATGAGTTTTTTGTATCAAAGCCTGTCTGTATGCTCTGTATTACAAGTATTTTTGTACAGTAGACTGTCTATTTGAAGTTGCACGTCTAAATGATCTGTTAGCAAAAGTTGTACCAACTAAAATTTTTCTATTTAATTTTATGTTTAGATTTGTTAGCAACTGTAACTTTGATGTCGAAACAGCAGAGTGCAAAGGTAGAACCCGAGGCAGAGGTTAGAAAGAGGCACGGTAATGCCAGCAAAAGTAATGGAGCCCAGACTCAGGCTTCAGCAGCTGATTATACAGATGAACAAATGGAACATATTAAGAGGTGAAGCACATTTTAATGCAACATAAGGATGTGCTAATACACGTTCATGAGAATAACTGATGATTATAACTTGAAAAATACTTTTTAGAATAAATAAGTGCAAAGACTATTATGAAATTTTGGCTGTCAGTAAAGATGCCACAGACAGTGATGTCAAAAAGGCTTATAGAAAGTTGGCACTTCACTTGCATCCAGATAAAAACAGAGCACCTGGAGCAAACGAAGCATTTAAAGGTATTTGTTAACTATTGATGTTTATTGTCAAAATTTAAATACTTATAACCCAATGACTCATCAACACAGCTGTCGGTAATGCTGCTAAAATCCTAATGGATCCTGAAAAGAGAAAGCAGTACGACTTGTATGGATCAGAAGAAGAAAGACTTAGTACTACAAGGCACTCACATTCACATTATAATTATTCACGGGGTGGTTTTGAAGGTACACAGTGTTTTCAAAAAAACTGATTCTAAATTCAAAGCAGTACTTAACAAAATGTTATCTTTTTTGCAGCTGATGTAACAGCTGAAGAACTATTTAACATGTTCTTTGGTGGTTTTCCACAACAAGAATTTTATGTCAGAAGAGGTGGTGGCAGGTGGATGAGACAAAATGAGGCACAGCATCAGCATACTCACTCCCAAGTAAGATATTAATTTTACACTTAATAAGATAAACAAATTCGTTCACAACTACATAACTTTTTGTTTCAGCAACAAGCAAATACGTACACTACATTCCTTCAAATGTTGCCTGTATTATTACTGATTATTTTGACTATGATGAGCAGTTTTTTTATGTCTGACCCCATCTATAGCTTACATCAAAGTTCGTAGGTATCAGTTCAGTTTTATATAATATATCTAAATACGTGTAATGTGGGTGAAATAAAATTTATTATTCAAAACTTATATTTTTTTCACCTATTCAGTAAATATTCAATTCAAAGAACTACTATAAAAATACAATGATATATATTTTACTACCAAAATTTATATTCAAAATTTCTACTCGTCGTTGCTGGGTGTGTGATCGTGTGGCTTACATTCCACGACCAGGCAGTTGCACTGGCTCGACCAACTTACTTCGGTGCAGTAAATTTAAAGATGACGCGTGTTTTAATGGCAATCCAAAAAAAACAAAGTGACGTTTTGAATTATCTAATGAAAGATTCAACTATGAAAGTTTGTAAAAAGGATATTTCCTTTTTATAGTTGAAAATAAAAAAAAATTAAAAAAAAGAGGTCGATAAAATTCTGTTGTAGAAAATTTTTTAAATAATGAATATTACGAAATTCCGACCTTAAAATTCAAGGTTTTAAAGAAACAATTGTAAAACAACAGAATAATTTGTTTCAATATAATATATTTGTTATGTGATAAGGAAAGAAAATTCATTTTATTTGCTTTAATTAGTAAATTTTCTATGTCAACAACAGGATAAAATTTTTTTATCAAGAGCCTCGAGTGATGGTAGAATTGAAATTTATATATCTGGCTACTTGTATACTGTGATCTCTGTAAGGTTAAAAGGAGCGACTATGTATATAATTGAATTGAATGAATAATGTTAATTGAATGACGGTTGTAAAGCCTTTATAAAAATTTCCATTAATAATATTTAAAACCAAATTTGTCATTCTTTGTTTATTTTAATCAACCCTGACATTTATTATAAAGTTTCAATCAATATGGAAGTATAAAATATTCCATAAGTCATCAAACTAAATCAGTGTTTTTTTGTCTCACTCAACTATTGCTATAAATATCACAATTATTAGAGTCCAGCAGAATTAAGATTAATCTTAATGTAGAATATATCCATGTACTTGTGTATCTAATATACAAACGTACATGTATGTGTATATGCAAAAATTTTTTCTTAGTTTTTCGTCTGCAAATTGTAAATAATTGATACTCAAAAATCAGTGTACATGAGAAAGCATCATTAGCATATATGACAGATCTTAAGTATGCCCGTTTGGATAAAGTACACAGCAAAGAGTTTGTGTCGCGTAATTATAAGTGAAAAATGTGTATAAAAGTTATACCTGTAAAGTTTTAGAATTAGACTCATTTAATTATATTATATAAATTGTTACTGAAAAACAAATATTGTAAATATAGACTTATTTACTTATCATGAAAAAATATTTTAATTTTATTTTTTCACATCTTCCTTTTATTATACTATTATTTTTCAACATTTCGGTAAAAAACTATGTTCGAAAATGTTATGTACATACACTAACGTAAAGTATATAAAACTTACACATAATATAAAATTGTAAAAAAAAAATATTTTTTCTTTGGAACAATTATTGAAAAAATACAATGTCGTCGGCTATGATCGATGTTGTACTCTTCATCTTACCTTCTTCATCTTTTATTTCTCCATAACTTAATCGGCCATTTACCATCACACGCTGACCTTTTCTCATGTAATTATACACAGTTTCTCTCAAGTTTGGCTTGAACACACAGATCCGATGCCAATCAGTTTTTTGCATAAGATCACCTGCAAATCATTTGGTTATAAATAACAGTATATATAAGGGGAGATAACACAATAAGATGCAAAATCTTTACCTCCTTCATATTTGTAGTTAATGTGAGTGGCTATAGAAAAAACCACTACAGGATGATCCTCGTTGCCACGCTTCTGTGGTTCGGCGCCCACTCTTCCAAGTAATGTGACTTGATTAATTGCTATGAGAATATTAAAATACATGAAGATGAAGCCACTTAACTACTTGTGAAGAAAATTAAGAACTAAGAGATATAGATAATAAATTATTTCGAATGATAGTATGTGGAAAACACTAACTTTTTTCAATTTTGGAAGTTTCCGGGGCCAGGGCGGCGGCAGCGTAAGTGCGCGTAACGGCAGCACAATTGATCTGTTTACACGCTTTTGTCAAAATCTGAAATAAAGAAAAACATGTTAACGGTTTAACCTTCAAATTAACGCTCATCAAAATCACGTTTGATGGGTATTTTATCAGTAGTGTTTCTCTATTTAAGTACCTTATTAAGCATCATCTTGATAAACTGAACAAGAAACCAACGTTTTCAAGGTGAATCAACAAAAAATATTTAGTCTTTTCCTCCTAAACAAATAAAAACACCTACAGCAACTAGAGAACCAAATGAGAATGCATGCATGCGTTATTGTGTTTGAAATATACCTAACTTTACCATGGGTTTGTTCAAGACGGCAGTGTCAGAGTCTCTCGGAGACACTCGGACTAGGGAGAAGAACACTAACTTGTTCATTCCATTCTCAGAGGCACCCAGAGTCTCTCCGAGTCTCACCGAGAATTGGCTTGAACAAACCTCATGTTCCAAAATTATATATAGAAACGAAACTCTGCGCGGCAAATTCCGAAGCAGAATTTTGGGCCGGCCAATCAGGGTACTTTTCCCATGCAAGTTGTGGAATCTTAAGCTTATTAGTTACGATTGACCCATCAAAAATTTAATGCAAAATTTTGCAAAAGTAACGTTCGGTTGGTTTGTCCTTGCTCTTAAGTGTCACGGGTTAAGTGCTCGGATTATCAATGGCGACATTTAAAAATTAACGCAAAAAAATGCTACATGCACTCTTCTGATTCTGCACTTAATAAACGAATAACTCAATAAACTGTCAACAAAGCACAATATAATATATATTTTTTATCAAAACATTTTGCATACTTGTATTATGTTTTGAATAATATAGGTTCGTTTGGGGCTTAGCTTGGAGCTCCTCCGAATTTTGCCTCTTGGGGCAATATGTATAGATATATACTCCGTTGTGTTGCACTGTGGGTGTGGTGTTGCAGTGTAAAGCAGCGTTTGCATGCGTGCAGCCGAAAAAAAAAATTGGAATCGCGCTTCATGCCGTCGTCTGCTCTGAATACTACGCCGTTATTGTCGTGCATGACAGATGCCAATGTGACACGATCGATTAAACAATAAAGTAAAAATTAAACAGTGTAAGTACTTGACATTTAGCCACGTTTCGTTTAATCATTTTTAGGCAAAACTTGTTCACGTAGAGAGTACCACAAAGCATGCAAAAAAAGACACGTAGTGTTAACATTAAAAAAATAGTATACAAGTACAATTCATGACGCTTATAAAAAAATATTGCTTCGAAACAATTTGTTGTTACTTCTAGTAAGGTCGATTGAAGAAACTAAGAGTTACGAAAAATCTGATTCGAGAGTTATAAAACCAAAAAAAAAAAAAAAGAACGAAAGATGGATTGCACGGAGGAAGAAGCTGCTAATGTTGACAGGTCAATATACTAGTAATACTTTTAAATTAACATGATAAGAAATTAAATACAAGTAAAATGAATTTGCAGGGTGTTGGAGCAAAAAAATTTTTATGATATTTTGCAATTGCCAAGTAGCGCGACGGATGATGAAATTAAAGGAGCTCACAAAAAGATGGCACTATTAGTACATCCAGACAAAAACAACCATCCAAGAGCCAAAGAAGCATTCATCTGTGAGTGCAAATTATCCTAAGCAAAGCCTAATGTCGCACTAAATTATTACCATTTAATATTACAGCTGTGCGGAAGGCTACAGCCATCTTACTTGACAAAGAAAAAAGGAGAGAATACGATTCATACTTGAGATCTCCAAGAGGATTTGCTACGGACAAATTTGATTTATCAGGTATAGCTATTTCTTTTTTTCTTTCTTTTTTTGTTTTTTTTTTAAGTTATTTTTTGTTAAATTTATATTTTATAATAACAGATGATGAAATCGACGTCATATTAATTGGAGCTGGAATAGCAGGAATTGTTGGTATTGCAGCAGGCTTGGTTTCTCTTTATAACTGGTGGACTGGCTCGAGTAAGAAAAAAGAAGTTAAATATGCTAAATAGATAAAGAGTTGTTTAAGCAACAATTAAATATATTTTTAATTTTCTGCTTGATACGCGAGAAATTTTGTCTTCTTCCTATGGATGTCTGCAAATTAACAGTATTGTTAAAAAAATTTATATTATATTTTAATAACAATACTGAAATAATAATCATGTTAACTTTATCTTCCATTGAGTAATGGTATTGTATCCATCTATTATTTTACATTTTTTTAAAAAAAGTATGTGTGCATACATCATATGCATTATGTAAGTAGATAATAAGGAAATGAACTTGTGATAGTTGTAATTCAGAAGCTCTGAGTTCAATTTGATTTCTAAGTGTTGCTGTCGTAAGTATATATCTTTAAATAAGTTTGAGAGAAAAAAGTAAAATGGAGTATAAAAAGTAATGTAATACATCTAAATAACGTTTGTAATTAAGTTTCCTAGTTGATGTTTTCGAAGTAGGATGTCTCTGTTAAACGTATGATGAAATAAAAAAATAATAAATAATGATCAGCCGACTGTAGTTAACTTATTATCATTATAATACATTGGACGAAAAAAAAATTTGTCAACAAAATAAAAATAACAAAAAAAGATGTTATATTATGAAATAATACGCATGGGTATATTTTTTGGTGAACGTTTCAGAAAGTAAGCAAGTCTATACATAAATGTATAATGACCCTGTCTCATTAGTTGTCCACGTCATCCTATCGGGTTTTGAAGCCATTGGCTTTCTGCTTCTTCTTTTGACCACGCGACACAAACACAACCGTATAGTGAATTAGTATTATATAGCAGAAGCATCTCCTACGTTATACTTGACAGCTGCGCTGAGCCGCTGAACGTTTGCAAGTATTTATATTATATGCAAGTAAGTAAGTTATAAATTGCACAGTTCAAAGTAAACTGCAGTAAGTAACCAGCTCAGCCAACAAACGTTGCATCAAACGATGTATTTCTATATATACCTACTTACTGGCATGTTAATTAATTAAGTTAGTGGCATACTAGAATTGTCTGCTAGTGTGGAATGCACGAAAAAATAATAGTATTTTGTAAAAAACGACTGGGAGACAGTATACATGTGCCAGAGAGCGACAGAAAAGAGCTGCTGTTGCTGGTGATTTGGTGTGGCGTGTGGTGCAGTAGTGCTGGATGAATTAGTATTTGTCTGTACTTATACTTGATTCCGCAGCAAAATTTTCGCTTCGTCACGAGACATCTAATAATTACTTGTGTACTTGACACTTGATTGTTTTTGGACACGCGGACGTGGATGAGTCAAAATTTACTTTTCCAAAAGTGTTCGTACGTATAATTACGTATAGGTATAGGTTGTACTTATACACACACAACTGGTACGCGCGTACCACCAGGTCAAGAGGGTAGTCGTATAATAGCTAAGTATAGGCAGAGAGAGGATGGACGGGAACAAGGATGAGGCTAATCGGTGCACCGAGCTAGCCGAGCGATGTGTCAGGGAAAAGAGGTTTGACGAAGCAGTGAAGTTCCTCAAGAAGGCCCAGAGGCTATTCCCGACCAAGAAGGCTGAGGGTGAGCTTGTACCATTTGGCTTTAGCTACCTTGCATGGGTGTGTATGTGTGCATGCGTGTGACCTATTAACAAGTTTATGTAGACAATGTAGCTTTTCATTTTTGCTGAGATGTTATTTCATCAATTATGCATGAACTACGTGTTCTTTCTCTTTTTTTTTTTTATTTCGGAGTTTGGTTACACGCTAACTTACGTTTTTTAACAAATACTTACATGACAGCTTGTAAAGATTACTCGTATTTTTGATAATTTAGTTTCAGATTGTTAATGAGTTTTTTGTATCAAAGCCTGTCTGTATGCTCTGTATTACAAGTATTTTTGTACAGTAGACTGTCTATTTGAAGTTGCACGTCTAAATGATCTGTTAGCAAAAGTTGTACCAACTAAAATTTTTCTATTTAATTTTATGTTTAGATTTGTTAGCAACTGTAACTTTGATGTCGAAACAGCAGAGTGCAAAGGTAGAACCCGAGGCAGAGGTTAGAAAGAGGCACGGTAATGCCAGCAAAAGTAATGGAGCCCAGACTCAGGCTTCAGCAGCTGATTATACAGATGAACAAATGGAACATATTAAGAGGTGAAGCACATTTTAATGCAACATAAGGATGTGCTAATACACGTTCATGAGAATAACTGATGATTATAACTTGAAAAATACTTTTTAGAATAAATAAGTGCAAAGACTATTATGAAATTTTGGCTGTCAGTAAAGATGCCACAGACAGTGATGTCAAAAAGGCTTATAGAAAGTTGGCACTTCACTTGCATCCAGATAAAAACAGAGCACCTGGAGCAAACGAAGCATTTAAAGGTATTTGTTAACTATTGATGTTTATTGTCAAAATTTAAATACTTATAACCCAATGACTCATCAACACAGCTGTCGGTAATGCTGCTAAAATCCTAATGGATCCTGAAAAGAGAAAGCAGTACGACTTGTATGGATCAGAAGAAGAAAGACTTAGTACTACAAGGCACTCACATTCACATTATAATTATTCACGGGGTGGTTTTGAAGGTACACAGTGTTTTCAAAAAAACTGATTCTAAATTCAAAGCAGTACTTAACAAAATGTTATCTTTTTTGCAGCTGATGTAACAGCTGAAGAACTATTTAACATGTTCTTTGGTGGTTTTCCACAACAAGAATTTTATGTCAGAAGAGGTGGTGGCAGGTGGATGAGACAAAATGAGGCACAGCATCAGCATACTCACTCCCAAGTAAGATATTAATTTTACACTTAATAAGATAAACAAATTCGTTCACAACTACATAACTTTTTGTTTCAGCAACAAGCAAATACGTACACTACATTCCTTCAAATGTTGCCTGTATTATTACTGATTATTTTGACTATGATGAGCAGTTTTTTTATGTCTGACCCCATCTATAGCTTACATCAAAGTTCGTAGGTATCAGTTCAGTTTTATATAATATATCTAAATACGTGTAATGTGGGTGAAATAAAATTTATTATTCAAAACTTATATTTTTTTCACCTATTCAGTAAATATTCAATTCAAAGAACTACTCAAAATTTGAAAGTACCTTATTTCGTCAAAGACAACTTTCATACAGAATATGATGGTAATTTAAAAAGATTAGAGGAATTAGTTGAAAAAGAGTATATGACGTTCTTACAACATTCATGCTTTAGAGAAAGGAATTACAGTAAGTTAATATTTACCTTTACTCTTATATGTTAAATGTAAACATTTAACAAACCCAATGACTCATCAACACAGCTGTCGGTAATGCTGCTAAAATCCTAATGGATCCTGAAAAGAGAAAGCAGTACGACTTGTATGGATCAGAAGAAGAAAGACTTAGTACTACAAGGCACTCACATTCACATTATAATTATTCACGGGGTGGTTTTGAAGGTACACAGTGTTTTCAAAAAAACTGATTCTAAATTCAAAGCAGTACTTAACAAAATGTTATCTTTTTTGCAGCTGATGTAACAGCTGAAGAACTATTTAACATGTTCTTTGGTGGTTTTCCACAACAAGAATTTTATGTCAGAAGAGGTGGTGGCAGGTGGATGAGACAAAATGAGGCACAGCATCAGCATACTCACTCCCAAGTAAGATATTAATTTTACACTTAATAAGATAAACAAATTCGTTCACAACTACATAACTTTTTGTTTCAGCAACAAGCAAATACGTACACTACATTCCTTCAAATGTTGCCTGTATTATTACTGATTATTTTGACTATGATGAGCAGTTTTTTTATGTCTGACCCCATCTATAGCTTACATCAAAGTTCGTAGGTATCAGTTCAGTTTTATATAATATATCTAAATACGTGTAATGTGGGTGAAATAAAATTTATTATTCAAAACTTATATTTTTTTCACCTATTCAGTAAATATTCAATTCAAAGAACTACTCAAAATTTGAAAGTACCTTATTTCGTCAAAGACAACTTTCATACAGAATATGATGGTAATTTAAAAAGATTAGAGGAATTAGTTGAAAAAGAGTATATGACGTTCTTACAACATTCATGCTTTAGAGAAAGGAATTACAGTAAGTTAATATTTACCTTTACTCTTATATGTTAAATGTAAACATTTAACAAACCCAATGACTCATCAACACAGCTGTCGGTAATGCTGCTAAAATCCTAATGGATCCTGAAAAGAGAAAGCAGTACGACTTGTATGGATCAGAAGAAGAAAGACTTAGTACTACAAGGCACTCACATTCACATTATAATTATTCACGGGGTGGTTTTGAAGGTACACAGTGTTTTCAAAAAAACTGATTCTAAATTCAAAGCAGTACTTAACAAAATGTTATCTTTTTTGCAGCTGATGTAACAGCTGAAGAACTATTTAACATGTTCTTTGGTGGTTTTCCACAACAAGAATTTTATGTCAGAAGAGGTGGTGGCAGGTGGATGAGACAAAATGAGGCACAGCATCAGCATACTCACTCCCAAGTAAGATATTAATTTTACACTTAATAAGATAAACAAATTCGTTCACAACTACATAACTTTTTGTTTCAGCAACAAGCAAATACGTACACTACATTCCTTCAAATGTTGCCTGTATTATTACTGATTATTTTGACTATGATGAGCAGTTTTTTTATGTCTGACCCCATCTATAGCTTACATCAAAGTTCGTAGGTATCAGTTCAGTTTTATATAATATATCTAAATACGTGTAATGTGGGTGAAATAAAATTTATTATTCAAAACTTATATTTTTTTCACCTATTCAGTAAATATTCAATTCAAAGAACTACTCAAAATTTGAAAGTACCTTATTTCGTCAAAGACAACTTTCATACAGAATATGATGGTAATTTAAAAAGATTAGAGGAATTAGTTGAAAAAGAGTATATGACGTTCTTACAACATTCATGCTTTAGAGAAAGGAATTACAGTAAGTTAATATTTACCTTTACTCTTATATGTTAAATGTAAACATTTAACAAACCCAATGACTCATCAACACAGCTGTCGGTAATGCTGCTAAAATCCTAATGGATCCTGAAAAGAGAAAGCAGTACGACTTGTATGGATCAGAAGAAGAAAGACTTAGTACTACAAGGCACTCACATTCACATTATAATTATTCACGGGGTGGTTTTGAAGGTACACAGTGTTTTCAAAAAAACTGATTCTAAATTCAAAGCAGTACTTAACAAAATGTTATCTTTTTTGCAGCTGATGTAACAGCTGAAGAACTATTTAACATGTTCTTTGGTGGTTTTCCACAACAAGAATTTTATGTCAGAAGAGGTGGTGGCAGGTGGATGAGACAAAATGAGGCACAGCATCAGCATACTCACTCCCAAGTAAGATATTAATTTTACACTTAATAAGATAAACAAATTCGTTCACAACTACATAACTTTTTGTTTCAGCAACAAGCAAATACGTACACTACATTCCTTCAAATGTTGCCTGTATTATTACTGATTATTTTGACTATGATGAGCAGTTTTTTTATGTCTGACCCCATCTATAGCTTACATCAAAGTTCGTAGGTATCAGTTCAGTTTTANTTCTGCTTCTTCTTTTGACCACGCGACACAAACACAACCGTATAGTGAATTAGTATTATATAGCAGAAGCATCTCCTACGTTATACTTGACAGCTGCGCTGAGCCGCTGAACGTTTGCAAGTATTTATATTATATGCAAGTAAGTAAGTTATAAATTGCACAGTTCAAAGTAAACTGCAGTAAGTAACCAGCTCAGCCAACAAACGTTGCATCAAACGATGTATTTCTATATATACCTACTTACTGGCATGTTAATTAATTAAGTTAGTGGCATACTAGAATTGTCTGCTAGTGTGGAATGCACGAAAAAATAATAGTATTTTGTAAAAAACGACTGGGAGACAGTATACATGTGCCAGAGAGCGACAGAAAAGAGCTGCTGTTGCTGGTGATTTGGTGTGGCGTGTGGTGCAGTAGTGCTGGATGAATTAGTATTTGTCTGTACTTATACTTGATTCCGCAGCAAAATTTTCGCTTCGTCACGAGACATCTAATAATTACTTGTGTACTTGACACTTGATTGTTTTTGGACACGCGGACGTGGATGAGTCAAAATTTACTTTTCCAAAAGTGTTCGTACGTATAATTACGTATAGGTATAGGTTGTACTTATACACACACAACTGGTACGCGCGTACCACCAGGTCAAGAGGGTAGTCGTATAATAGCTAAGTATAGGCAGAGAGAGGATGGACGGGAACAAGGATGAGGCTAATCGGTGCACCGAGCTAGCCGAGCGATGTGTCAGGGAAAAGAGGTTTGACGAAGCAGTGAAGTTCCTCAAGAAGGCCCAGAGGCTATTCCCGACCAAGAAGGCTGAGGGTGAGCTTGTACCATTTGGCTTTAGCTACCTTGCATGGGTGTGTATGTGTGCATGCGTGTGACCTATTAACAAGTTTATGTAGACAATGTAGCTTTTCATTTTTGCTGAGATGTTATTTCATCAATTATGCATGAACTACGTGTTCTTTCTCTTTTTTTTTTTTATTTCGGAGTTTGGTTACACGCTAACTTACGTTTTTTAACAAATACTTACATGACAGCTTGTAAAGATTACTCGTATTTTTGATAATTTAGTTTCAGATTGTTAATGAGTTTTTTGTATCAAAGCCTGTCTGTATGCTCTGTATTACAAGTATTTTTGTACAGTAGACTGTCTATTTGAAGTTGCACGTCTAAATGATCTGTTAGCAAAAGTTGTACCAACTAAAATTTTTCTATTTAATTTTATGTTTAGATTTGTTAGCAACTGTAACTTTGATGTCGAAACAGCAGAGTGCAAAGGTAGAACCCGAGGCAGAGGTTAGAAAGAGGCACGGTAATGCCAGCAAAAGTAATGGAGCCCAGACTCAGGCTTCAGCAGCTGATTATACAGATGAACAAATGGAACATATTAAGAGGTGAAGCACATTTTAATGCAACATAAGGATGTGCTAATACACGTTCATGAGAATAACTGATGATTATAACTTGAAAAATACTTTTTAGAATAAATAAGTGCAAAGACTATTATGAAATTTTGGCTGTCAGTAAAGATGCCACAGACAGTGATGTCAAAAAGGCTTATAGAAAGTTGGCACTTCACTTGCATCCAGATAAAAACAGAGCACCTGGAGCAAACGAAGCATTTAAAGGTATTTGTTAACTATTGATGTTTATTGTCAAAATTTAAATACTTATAACCCAATGACTCATCAACACAGCTGTCGGTAATGCTGCTAAAATCCTAATGGATCCTGAAAAGAGAAAGCAGTACGACTTGTATGGATCAGAAGAAGAAAGACTTAGTACTACAAGGCACTCACATTCACATTATAATTATTCACGGGGTGGTTTTGAAGGTACACAGTGTTTTCAAAAAAACTGATTCTAAATTCAAAGCAGTACTTAACAAAATGTTATCTTTTTTGCAGCTGATGTAACAGCTGAAGAACTATTTAACATGTTCTTTGGTGGTTTTCCACAACAAGAATTTTATGTCAGAAGAGGTGGTGGCAGGTGGATGAGACAAAATGAGGCACAGCATCAGCATACTCACTCCCAAGTAAGATATTAATTTTACACTTAATAAGATAAACAAATTCGTTCACAACTACATAACTTTTTGTTTCAGCAACAAGCAAATACGTACACTACATTCCTTCAAATGTTGCCTGTATTATTACTGATTATTTTGACTATGATGAGCAGTTTTTTTATGTCTGACCCCATCTATAGCTTACATCAAAGTTCGTAGGTATCAGTTCAGTTTTATATAATATATCTAAATACGTGTAATGTGGGTGAAATAAAATTTATTATTCAAAACTTATATTTTTTTCACCTATTCAGTAAATATTCAATTCAAAGAACTACTCAAAATTTGAAAGTACCTTATTTCGTCAAAGACAACTTTCATACAGAATATGATGGTAATTTAAAAAGATTAGAGGAATTAGTTGAAAAAGAGTATATGACGTTCTTACAACATTCATGCTTTAGAGAAAGGAATTACAGTAAGTTAATATTTACCTTTACTCTTATATGTTAAATGTAAACATTTTCTTATTTTATTATATTGTTTATACAGAAGAGAACATGATATGGAGAGCAAGAAGCTTGGGTGACCATGATAAAATTCAAAAGGCAAGGAATATAGACATGCCATCATGTAGGCAATATCAAGGCATGCAAGCATAGTTTGAATAGTAAAAACGACTTTCTCTATGGTTTTGTAATTTTAGATTTACTGTATATTAAAATTTATTGATTTATCTTCAAAATTTAAGCTACAGTTCTATTCAACAGCTTTTTACAATCATGATTTCATTACTGTTTATCAATAAGTTGTTTTTGGTACTCTAAAGTTATGTTGTGTGCAATGATTGCATTGTTTGTACACTTTCAGTGAAATAAAACAATCAGATGCATTTTTATATAAAAATCACCACTTTAGTAATTAGTACAGTAATGCAAATAGTAAATTTGTTATTTTAATAATACAACTTCAATTCATCGTGAAATGTTATTCAAAGTTCAAAGTATAAGAAGATTTGAAGCTGTATATCATGAATATTGTGAAATAATTTTTGTACATATAGTATTATTTAATGCAAAAAATTTATTTTCTGCAACTTCAATAATTTATTTATAAAAATTATTGTATTATTGTTGTTTATGAAGATATTAAAAGAAAAAAATTTATTTCGTTTCATATTTTTATTGTCCTTGAAATAATTTTATATAAAAATAACAATGTATGTACAATTTTATCAGTTAAAAAATACTGTGGCCATTTATTTTTGGCGAGGAACGCTACCGTGCCGATTATAGTGTTCCCATGTGTTGAACATATTCATCAAAGGCTTTAATATGCTCTTTTTTAAGAAAAGTACGAAAGCCTAAAAGTTTTTTCAACAACACATTATTACCCGTGTAGAATTAAAAAAAATAAGAATCGTTTAAAAAGATGTTTACCAATGAATAGACGTTCATCTTTACTTTCCGTGATGAATAAATCTTTCAGAGCAACTATCAGCTCTTGAAAACTGCTATTCCTTTTATAATTAGCAATTATACTTTTGAAAACGTCAACCTTTTCTTTGGTAAGACGGCTTTTAACCTGTAAAAATTTAATTTTCGTTCGAATAATTCATGTAAATAAATATTTTAATGAAATTACCTCTTTTAAGTACAATTTTCCCTGCTCTAGTTTTGATGGGGCATCTTCCTGTGTACTGTTAGAAGAATTCAAAATTGACAATTGAGATGCTGGAGTAGTATTAAATTCTGAAGTTGAAGGGACCTCTTCTTCAATTTTATCAAAGATCACAGGCTTAATTGTAACTTTTCTTCGTTTGATTTGAGGCTCGGGTGAAATTACTTTTTCCGTAGTACTATTAGGATCACTTTGTAATTTACATGTAGTGAAATTTAACACTGGCTTCTTTGGTTTCATCTCAAACATCGACGCTAAATTTTTTGTCGGCGAAGTTTGAGTTTTTTGACTACTTTTTACAGCGCCGGTATTATTTTCCGTTTTATAAAAATTAATATCAAAGGGATCTTCTTTTTCTTTTTCTACCGCTGAACTTTCATTTTGAGAAGAATTATGTGATGCAGAATTCGAAGAGCGTTTGACGCTGGTATCGAAATGAGCAGGAACGGCTGGCAACGACATGTCGGAATCTGACTTTACTACATTATTTATGGGTTGTGGGAGCTGAAGAATATAGTAGATGATATGACTACCGAAAAATGTTTTGAAATTATGAACACCCTACTTACATTTGCACTAGCGTATCGGAAAAATTCTCGACATTCTTTCAATACTGCCTTGAAATCGGGAAATTTTTTAATATGTGGCCTAATCCACGATGACAATTGCTGTTTAAACGACGGATTATCGAAACGACAATCGCAAAGTAATATGGCACCATAATCGTTCTTGTGACGAATGATACGACCAATGGCTTGATTAACAGCTCTCGATGCTTCAAGTTGATACCATTGTTGTCCTGTTAGACTCTAAAATGATAAGTGCGCAAGTACTATCTGGGTAAAATTTTTGGAAACAGTAAATGTTCAAGTAAAGTATTACTTCTTTCCCAACAACTCGATTTTCTTCCAAGTAACGTTGCTTTAATATGATTCTTGGATCTTTCAAAGGCGGAAATGGTAATCCAGTGATTAAAACTGCTCTTCCATTTGCATTAGCAAAATCTAAACCTTCACTGACCTTTCCCCTACAAACCGCCATGAAGATTGCCCCTTTAAATGCGGGATCGTGAATTTTTTTGTAATAATCATTCATAATACTATTAAATGTATCTTTTGATTGAGGTTCCACAAAAATTGGCTTACAGAAAAATATATTAAGCGTTAAAAAAAAAAAATAAATGTAGTTGTTCGAATCCACTAAGTTTATACTTTAATACCTTGTTATTTTCGATTTGAGTCCATTTTCCCATCTTTTGCCATTCTTCTTGGCATTTTTTCATAATAGGATAAGATGGAAAAAAAATTAACAAACCGTGCGGCAAAATGAAACTAAAAATTTTGATAGTTTCTCCAAGAGAAGCTATGTATTTTGGATCATTCCTAGAAAGAAAAGATTTTTATTTTTTACATAATATTGTCAAAAAGAATCACTGATAAATTGTACCTTGTATTAAATGATGAATTGAGAGGATAGCCATCGTATCCACAACCAACAACACCAACACAAATTTGTTTATTGGACACGATATGGGGATTTTCTAACTGCACTTGTATGTCGATTCCGATTTCCGATATAAATGGTTTTAAAGGAGACAGAGTTCCACTTGTCAATATAACAGATCTTACACCTTGATCTATTAATTGCTGCATTCTAAAATTTAAAATATTTGTCCAAGTTCAGATGGTCAATGGAAGTTGTTACATCGTAAAAGTTACTTCATACCCAAATCCTGGACTAAAACACCAATAGCTTATTAGTTTTCCATCTGATTTACTAATTTTTTTTGTCTCCCAACCATCATTTTTAAACGTTTTTTTTGGTGGTTCGATTTGAACATAAACCTTATAACACTTTTTTATTCTTTCTCTAAACATACTATTAGCTGTTCCAGCAAATACAATCCTCAAAAGATCACAAAACTTTTGAAGAGCATTCCCTTTCCTGGCAAAAGGTGATGCACTTGTGGTTGTCAAATAAGTTATTATTTTGTCCAACTTTTCAACCACCAATGACTCTTTACCATTGGTAATCTGAAAATGTTCACGATTTGTTAATATTTATTAATATTTTAAGGTAAGTGAGTAATTTTAGCCTTACCTCAGCTTTTGCCAGTAGTTCAAAAATATAACTACCAGGAAAAGTGTCCCCTTCATCTCGTCTAGTAATTTGAATGGAATCAATGGCTTTTTCCAGCTCCAAAAACATAGTTTTCAAAATAATGAGATCTTCCGACGAAAAATCTTTTTGGGTATTACTAGGTGTTTCGGATGAACTATCATTTTGTTTATCTGCCTTAGCTATGTCCATCATAACACTTGTTATTTCATCTATGCAAAGAGCAATATCTGTGCTACTCATCTAAAATTTTGTAAAAAAATTATACATTTTTTGGTACTATAAAGACACACTGTAACACAGTTCAAATCATTTACTTGCAAAGAAGCAGCTTCTTCGCATATTTTTTCTACGTTATGTGCCTCGTCCAGCAAGACAACATAATTTTTCAGTTCAATGTTCAAATTTTTCCTAGTCTTGGGGTCTAATAAGTAATTATAAGGCATAAATATTATATCCGCATTTTGTTTTAACTCCCTGGATAAATAATAAGGACAACATTTATGTTTCTGACCAGTCTTGACTAAATCTTCTATGTCTAAAATACTTTGCTTGATACTTGGATCTTCTTTTCTAAAAATTTAAGGTAATCATTTGAAATTCCAGTCCATACACTACTTATTTCATAGCAATTGTACTTTTTTTTACCTAGATTCTACAGTATTATAAAATATACAACTTCTTGTCTTGACTTTAGCTTGACACAAATGATTTTTGTTGGAGCTACTTTGCTCCCTTGCAACTTCTGGATTGATGCAGAGCTGATCTCTTGAACCAAGAACGGCTACGCTGACGTGCTTGTAAGACGTTCTCTTCAACTCTTGCATTGCCTGAGATAACTGAGAGTGAGTTCTAGAAGCATAGATGATTCTGGGTATTGCCCAGCCAAAACTGTTGATGTCCGTTGATAAAGGCTGCTCGAAGCCTTTGCCTCCAGCTTTGTTGAGGCTCTTGGTAAGGTCATGCATGAAAGAAGTTCCACAACTCAGCTGATCCAGGGATCCTGTTGCATGGGACTGTGACTGTATGGAAGCCTTTTTCACCATGAGCCATGCCAACGACGAACACAGTAAACTCAACGTTTTACCCGTGCCTGTGACAGGGATTTCCCGTGTAATAATTACTTGTTAATATCAAATGATTGAGGGATTAGTTTTGCAACAAGTGAGTACCTGTGGGTGACTCCAGAACGCCGTTTTTGCCATCCTGTAGGCATTCGATCACCTTTTCCATGTAGTCCTCCTGAACTTTGTACGGTTTAAACGGGAACTGAATGGACACACCTCTGAGTGTCACTTCGGACATTTTAGATGTTTTGGTCTCTTCAGAAAAAATAATTTATTCAACTAATACAACACACACAAAAAAAAAGTAATATAAAAACGTGTAATGTAATCTGGTTTTAAAAATCAAAACAATTTCCGTCTGCACGCAAAGGCACACACGTGTACGCGCTTTGGCGGGAAATTTTGCGCGAAAAATATGGGGGGATCACGTGATCTTTTATATCCTCTTTGAAATAAAAAAAAAATTGTTTATCAGTTTAAAAATTTTCGTGAAAAAGTCAATGGTTAGAGACACTCAAGTGATTTTATTGAATAAAAATATAAACTCGTGTTCATGAAAAGATTTGTTACAGAATTATAATAATATTAACAATAATGTGTTGTACGTGTGTCAGTTCAATAAAATATGTTTTGCTCTTGATATTTTTTAATACGATTTTGCCTTGAAAAATAATTTGAAAGCGCGATCGATTATTATAAACTCTTGTAAAATGATGATGACCTTACTTTTGGCTTGCATTGAATTCCAGCATAAACGTATGTAAAATAAACTTTAAAAAGTTGACCTCAAATTTCGAACTGCCGTAACTGTTTTTATGGTGAAAAGTTTTTAGTCGACATATGTTTTCTGTACTAAATGTTAATAATACCAAAGAGTTAAAATTTATTAAATGTTTAATTATAAAGGAATTAAAAATGTGCGTAACTATAAAAAAAAAAAAAATTATTTTATTTTCACTCTTAGACAATATAATAAAAGCGGTCGTTACACTACAATATATCTATGCGTATACACGTGTCAGACATATTACAAGCTGAACTTGAAATAGTTAGCTTTTCATTGGAATAGAACAAACAATTTAACAATTCAGTGCAATCTTTTAATAAAACCACACGTGCGTTCCGCTTCCGCAATAATTACATGTAATCATCGAGTGTGTGCCCTTTTTCATCATCGAAAACCGTCACGTGCCGTGATTTTCATAAAGTTTTTATACATTATAAAAATATAGCTCGTATAAGTGGGTTGAAATTTATATTCATCCACAATCTCGTGACTTTGATGCTTTTTATCAATTACATATATATACTTCCTTAATTATCTTTACATATAAATAAAATAAACACAAGTGGCTCATTATTTTTGTAAGAAAGTAAATATTTAATGTTTTATAAACCATCAATACATTTATTTATTACTAGAGTAAACAACGATGATTCTAACGTAGACTTTCGGGAAAAAAGCGCTTTTGTGTGAAATATCATATCATGAATTCCCAAAGCAGTTGAAGCAAAGAAACAGATTATTTGTTTTCCTCTGTAGTAGTAAGTAGTAGTAAAGAAAATTGCTAAAAATTTATTTTTGATCGTAACATAAACCATACATCTAATAATTTGAGATTTTGGGAATAAAACTCGTTTTAGAAATTAACATCTGTTTAGCACCAATAGTCGATGAGTTATGTATTTTGTTACGTACACTTGTAGCTCTGGTGAAAGTTTTTTCGGGAAAAAAAAAAAAAAAATTCGAGGGCAATGGAAACAAAGGTAATATGAGCCGGGACCTAGAAATTTTTTTTTTTTGTAATAACATCCGATTTTTAAAAAGTATGCGCAACATGCATGCAATAACAAAGCCGTGTAAAAACTACATTGTTTCGTAAAATGCTATTGTATAGGTACATGCTAGCTCTAATCTACACGTCCACCGCAAAAAATTACCATTTTTCAACAAAAGCGTGCGTGGGTGGTAAGTAGATATCCGCAAATCAGCTCACATAAATAATCATAAGTGTATGTGTATATGTAGAGGGGCATCCATTTTACTCGTGACAGTCGTGATTCTATACATGTGTGACGACAATGACAACTGCATATCTGTAACTGTATACATATATATATATATATATGCTCAAACGCATAAAATCAATCGGCTTGGACTTTTGGATGACGTCAATCAACAAAACAGCAGTCCGTAATGTCCGTATAATACGATATGTATGTATATATGAAGTAGATAAAAGAACCGCTATATGTATACGGATGGTAAAAAAAACACTAAGCTTTCCCTCCCCACTTGTCCTCCGCCCGTGCCGCAACCATATTCTCTCCGACACCGACACACACATGCCCCCGCAGCAGCAGACCCAAGACCCAACCGCTCCTCGCGTATCGTGCCGCCAGGCCAGTGACGCCGCCTCTGCGTCAGCCTGTAGCTGCTTTCTCCTTCCCAACACACATTTTTTTAGCCCATCCAGAGATCGCGCAGAGAGGCGTCATCGAAATCGAGGAAGCTGGCAAAGGATAATAGCCGCAACGCGGGACACGGAACACCGCAGTTGCAGACGTCAAGTGGTAGTGTACCCATCAATCATACCCTACTGAAGCCTCTGCAGAGGAAGGAGGCGGCAGCTGCGTTATCATCGAGATGATGCTTAACTGAAAACTTCCACTGTCAGTGTCCCATCATAGTACCAGCTGTGCGTGCATGTCCGTCCGTCCCATCACTCCAGACGGAGTCGTAGAGCACGAGAGCAGCTTTAGCAGCTCGAGGACGACAAAGAGGAATCCTGTGGTAAGGCATATACAATTCATTGTACAATTCACACTCTCGTGAAATCTTGCTCCGAAATCTGTGCATTTTTTTCAAAAGCTATGCAAACTGATGCATGGTATCGTGTATCGTTGCACGTAAAGCTGAGTTGTGCCGTATATATAATTGTGTGTTTGTATACATGAAATTTTATTCAATATTTACAATAATTTTTTTCCTGCTTTCACGCACATCAGGGCAAGTTGGAGCACCGAGGATGGGTCTGATCGCACTGATCTCGCTGGCTCTGCTGGCCAGCTGTAGCGGCTTCTCGTTGCGCTCAGCCGCTTCGTCTGGAGCACCAGCCGGTGGCAATGACGACTTTGGGCCACTTCGATATACCCACTACGAGGAATTGCAGGAGCTATTCCGCAACCTATCTTACAATTTTCCCCATCTAGCCAAGGTACACTCGATCGGTAAATCCGTCAAGGGCAGGGAGCTTCTCGTTCTCGAGATCAGCGAAAATGTTGGCAACGGCAGAAAGTTTGGCGTCCCGATGGTCAAGTACGTGGCAAACATGCACGGCGACGAGCCCGTCGGCCGCGAGCTCATGATCTACCTCGCCAAGTACTTGCTTTACAACTACGGCAAAGACCCGAGAGTCACGAAACTCGTCAACACCACGGACATCTTCCTCATGCCCTCGCTCAATCCAGATGGCTTCGAAAACTCAAGGGTGAGCACATCGTATGCATATTCATTGTTCGGTATATCATCTCAAGTGTGCGTGCATATTAAAAATTTTTATGATAGCGATAATAATTATGTTTGAAGCGGCAACTACGGCTGTTCGTATGTATTCCGCTCACTCTCCGCTCAGGCCGCGGCAATTGACTCCGTTTTTCTCGCGTTTTTTTTTTCTCTTTCTCTCTGATATAGAAAGGCTCACGTGATAGAAAGCTGCTATAGGGCTTACTCTGGTTTTCTCGCAACCGTTATGAATGCTGTGTAGATAAGTCAGGCGGAGTTGATTTTTATAATTACGTTTTTTTTTTTTTTTTTATCATACAATTTACTTCATTTCGCGTTCAATCAACCGTAAATTTATGGTGGAGATATTTTGCTGTGTGTCTCGTATCATTACTAAATTTGATGATTTTTCTTTGTTTTCACAGGAGGGAATGTGTAATTCTCTGGAAGATTATACGGGCCGTGAAAACGCAAACCGCGTTGATCTCAACCGAAATTTCCCTGACCAATTCGATTCCAGCGTCAACGGTATCAAGGGAGGTAAATTGATTAGTGGAAGGCAAAGCGAAACCATTGCCATGATGACGTGGATCGTTACCCAGCCATTTGTTCTGTCTGCAAATTTCCACGGAGGAGCTGTTGTTGCAAGCTATCCATATGACTCTGGGTAACTTTCAATAAAATCAATATGAAATGTTTCTCCCATAGTTTCTTGTTTATTCATTAAATAATTACTTTTTAGGATTAGACATGATTGTTGCGAAGAAAGCAAGTCTCCAGATGACAAAATGTTCAAACATCTTGCTCACATCTATGCTGACAACAATCCAGCCATGAGAATGGGCAACACCTGTCCATCAGAAACATTTAATGGTGGTGTAACTAATGGAGCACATTGGTACAAAGTCCAAGGCGGCATGCAAGACTTCAATTATGCTCGATCAAACGCTTTTGAAGTAACGTTTGAGCTGAGCTGCTGTAAATATCCATTTGCATCGGTCTTGCCGAGATACTGGCGTATGAACAAAGAATCTCTTTTAAAGTACTTGGAACAAGCCCATATTGGTATTAAAGGCTTTGTAGTAGATACAGAAGGACAGCCGATTGAAGGTGCCGAAATTGTAGTTGTTGGAATCAACAAAAACATAACAAGTTCACGTCGAGGAGAGTACTGGCGTCTACTTCTGCCCGGAACATACACTGTATATGCTGCTGCTTGGGGGTAGGTCACAAAAAATTTTACGATGCGAGAAAACCTTTAATGTAGCAATTTGTTAAATTAAATAAATTTTCTTTTTTACAGCTATGCTCCAAGTAAAGAACGACAGGTGACTGTGAAAAAAGGAGATGCTCTACACGTAAACTTTACCTTGACAAAACTACCGTATCTAGAGCAGCAAGGTAATTTTGAAAATTATTATTATGAAGTATCGCCCCTCTTAAGCCGTTATCCACCATTAGTGAGACCTGATCCTAACCCCGTGATCTGGGGAGATAAGTGATAAATGAAGTCCGAAGAACATTGCCCTTAAATTTTGTTTAGACTACAGCTCCACCAGTTTATAACTTGGTTACCCAAACCCGAAATCTGATGTGTTAATTTTTATCATTTATTTATTTATTTATTTATTTATTTGCCTCACCTCTGTAAAAAATAATCGCCATAGTTTTCCTAATTTATTTTATTTTTAAGAATCATTCGCTCTCTAACTAACGGAAGCTTTGTATATGTTAATGAAATAACTTCTACATAACTCTGCAAAAAAGTATTTATCAAAATAAGGTTGAAAAATTTTCATTGGTCCAAACATGTGGATTTAAGTAATCATATATTGGAATTACGTTGACTGACTTCGAGTCAACGCCTTGTATTTTCAAAAATTTCATTCACAACTTAAATGATTTTAAAATCATTTCACATAAAATTCTTAAAATAATTTATGTAACTTTAAATGAGAATGTCAAAATTCTTCAAAAGTACTGAAATTTAAAAAGAAAGTCAGTGCTATATCAAATGAAAATTGTCTAATCGAACAAGAAAATATGTATTACCGATGAAAAAAAAAAATGCACATACTTACTGATATTGAATATCTGAAAAATTAAATTATTATAAGCTTTGTAATGTACTCTACGAAATTTAAGTACAAGGAAACTATACATTTACCAGTAAATTAACGATATTTTTATTTTATTTCACGATTCTTAGCTTTATTATTTAACATAAGTATTTTTAACAAGGGTGATATGTAGAGGGTAAACACAAGGTATAGAGAAGTTTATAATCAGTCATAAGACTGTGAAATTTTTCTTGACAAAAGAAAGTCAATTTACATAAATTATTACCGAGTGTCTAAATGTTACTAATCATACTAGCACTAAATTAATTTGAAAAGCCTTTATTTAATGACATATGGGGTGTTGGTATTTTATACATGTATATAAATTATGATTGTTTGTTGAAAATATATTTTTTGGCTTAAATGTATTATGTACTGACAAATAATCATTCTATATACATATAAAAACTCGAACTGATTTCATGTGAAATTTTTAGAGAATATATAATACCTACTTTTAGGTTTGTTAGACCTGCAAATTCTAATAACTAGATTTTTACTTGTTAAAAAAGTTCCCACATAACGAACAAAATTTTATTTAAATGTTTATTGTATGATTAAAAAGTTACTCTGCTAGAAGCACTTAGTTCCTTTTTTTTTATTTATATTATTTTTGTTTGTGCTAGGCAATTATAGTGAATTTAGAACTAAAATTCACTTTATGTTGAGATGGTTCTTTTAATTCTACCTGAAAATCATATAAAAAATCAAAGGTTTTATGTTAATTATACAATTCTATATTAAGTCATAACGTATAAGCATACTTCATTGTTGAATAAATAGTTAAATGTTACAGAACTAATAATATTAGTTAACTTAAGTGGAGCTCGGCGTGACGCCGACCTTTGGTGTGCGGTCAGACGGCCGAACGTTTACTCTTTGGTATTGTTTTACTCAAATTTTTCAGTGAGACCATACTGTGCAAAAAGACGTTTTTAATGTAAAAAAAACCTCAGCTTTCCATCTAGCTATTGAAAAAAATATTTAAATTGCCTTTTTCGAAATATAGCACATTTTATGTTTTTTTTTAGTGAAAATAAAATGTGTTTGGAAAACTAACCACTTTATCGGAAAGCTGACTGAAAAATACATCAGAAATGCTATTTGCAACATTTTTTTAGGATAGGAATAAGATCAAGAAAATGAGCTGAAAACAGTGACTTTTAGCACTCACGACGTTGCCTGGGACATTTCGCGTGAAACGCCTCATCTATTTGAGTGTCTCTCGACAAGTTTTTGTACCGTTTTTTTCTCAATTGAACTGTTTTACCATGTCTTCTCACCTTAATATCGTTTCTTGATGAAGAACGTAGCTTTAATAGAATTGACTGACCAAGAGACGCAGTTTTTATCGACCACCAAAGGTATTGCGAATTTCTTTTGAGTTGGTAATAAATGTGTCTGGCACATATAAAAGTTAATTTTGCATGGATTACCCACTTGACCGCCTTTGACAGTATCCCACACTATATTTTACCTAGTGTCATTAACTTTGGTATGTTACTAAAGAAGCTCCAGGGACTCTCGTGTTAATAGGAAGCAAGTTATTATGGTTTATCAAACAAATGAATTATTGTGGCCGAAAAATTATAGGTTGTAGCATTGCCATAAAGCTGGAGCTGGGGCTTAAACCAATCTATTAAGGATTCTCGAGACTTTACGCTCATCACTGATCTACGCCTTCCACCAAAAGTAGATGTATTAATTGCACTCTTAGGTGCACTATAGTATCGTAAGTTATACGCCAACGTGCCATCATGCAGGTAATGGCTTGGCTGGCTGAGCGAAATCACGTTTGTGACAGTATATATCTCCCTATTGATGTCCGATCTTCATTCAAGGAAAGATTTTTTTTCANTTTTTTTAACGCAAAAGAAATTAATCCATCAACTGTTGTTTGAACCGCCAAGCAGCTAAACCAGAAACAGGAGCCAGAAACCCTGGCCGTGATGAAGTGGATCGAGTCGACGCCCTTCGTTCTCTCGGCGAACCTGCACGGTGGTGCCCTGGTCGCCAATTACCCGTACGACGACAATCCCGAATCCGTGGGCAATCAGTACGCCCATCCGAACCTCAGCCAGGACGACGACGTGTTCCGCGCCTTGGCTTCCATCTACGCGAACGCCCATCCGAGCATGCACGTCGGCAACCCGTGCCCCGCACCACCAGGGCGCCAAGATAGCGTGCTCGACGACGCCTTTCCCGGTGGTATAACCAATGGTGCTGCTTGGTACCCGGTAACCGGCGGCATGCAGGACTACAACTACGTGCACAGCAACGCGTTCGAGCTCACCATCGAGGTCGGCTGCAACAAGTATCCCAACGCCTCGGAGCTCGAGTCCTACTGGCGCGACAACCGAGAGCCTCTGCTCCGTTACATCGAAGCTGTGAGTCGGCTGATGTACTTGTTTTGCGTGATAATTAGGAAAATACATGAATGAGCGAATAAAAAAAATAATCTATTGTTTTTTGTATAGGCCAGAAAAGGTGTGCACGGAATGGTGATGTCGTCGATCGGAGGGGTCATCAAAGAAGCCAAAATATCGGTGGAGGGCCGGAATCACGATGTCTACACGAGCAATCAGGGTGATTACTGGCGCATGTTACTGCCCGGTGAATACAATGTAACGGCAAGTGCACCGAATTACGAGTCCCAAACGAGCAGTGTTCGAGTACCGAAGGACAATGGCACGGCCGTACTCGATTTTACGCTCATACGCGACGATCCTTATCACTGGTGAGTGTATATTCATGCTTCCCCTTGTCTGTGCCTCACATATTGCGTGGAATCTATTTTCTCTTTTTTTTTTTTTTTTTTTTTTTTAATTGCGCGATACTTACTTCCTGTTTGATTGTATGTTGCGAAATCAACTTCCCGTTTTACACCGCGTATTAATAGTGATCAAGGATGAGCGTTTTGTTCACTCTCGACGCATAATATGTACGTTATGTGATGCATGCGTGCTGATACGATGGGCTTTAAAGTGCGATATATTGGATTTCAGGGTCCACTTGAATGATTACGATTTACGAGCCAATCTGAAAAACGGCTATCTCAAGAACAGCGAATTGAGCGAGAGCTTCAAACAGCTGGAAGTCGACAAGCCGGACGTGGCTGAATTCAAGGCTGACGATTCGCCGATTAGCTCGCTCATACATTCCTTTAAAATAACCCACAATGTAAGCTTGCCACGTTAAATAGAAGCCAGGTTGTTTTCTCCCTGTGCAATATGCTCGTTCTATCGCAACCTTGTGCTTCTTTTATTTTTTTACACACACACAGCGCTTTGTTACCTGACTATTATGATGACATTTTACACTAAAATCATGCTCAATTTTTTTTTTTTTTTTTTCTTTTTTTTTCCAAGCTTTTGTTTTGCTTTTGTGTATCGTTGTACCGCTTTTTTCCCCTTGTCATTCGTGTGTGTATAACATTTTTCATTTCTTTATGTCGCAACTAGTTATTATGAATAAAATCTGTATGTTTTAATATCACATGAATTTTAATGAAATTTGGTTCGCACGAACAGATGGGCGATAGCGAGGAGAGTAAAATTCATATTGGTTTGATTGGAGGAATATTCGCGTCCCAGCCGATAGGCCGAGAAATCCTTCTGCGCTTTGCCCGACACATTTTAATGGGCAACAAGGAGGAAAATTCATTTATCAACAAGTTACTCGATCGAGTAGTTTTGCATTTCATACCCGGTGTCGACGCTGGTTTCGATAATGTTAAGCGAGAGTGCAATCCCGTTGTGAAAGAAGAGCTCGGCAAAAAATTGACGACGTCCAAAAAAATTCGACCCTTTGTCGATATACTCACAAATGCCATGGAGCAAACGCTTCAGACGGAAGATTTCGACGTGCTCGTTCTGTTCGGAGGCGGTAGTGGAGTTGGCGTCAGGTACTGTATTTCTTCTGATCCACTCAATCGTTCAGAGTTATGTTCTCCTCAACTCAATGATGTTATTTTACGTTTATTTTATAATTTTTTCCCTCAGCTACTCAACCAACAAAATTGATATTTTCAAGGACTACGCTCAATATTTCGAAAGATCCGTATTTCAAGATACTTGTCAAAATCCCAACTACGATATGAAAAATGTACAAAATTACATTAGAGGCCAGTACGACATTCCAGTGGTAAACTGTTTTATTCACTTACATTCCTGTAAAAAAATATCGATGGATATATAAAGTTACCAACAATAACGCATGACGAACTAACATTTCAGCTGAGTTTTTCTCTGTCCTGCTGTAAATACCCAAAACCGGAGTCCGTCCCGACTATCTGGCGACAGAATGTGTTGCCATTGAAGGAGCTCGTTAAGCGATTGGCCACTGGTGTACGAGTGTCCGTGATGGATGCCGAAAAAAATCCTCTGAGAAACGCTAGAGTGAAGATCGACGCTTTTGTATATAATGTAACGAGAAACATGGCGTATTTCAAAGCAATATTACCGCCCGGCGTTTATACCGCAATATTCAGTTGTGATGGTTACGAGGACAGAGCTGTATTGCTAACAGTTCAGGACGACGAGGTTACCTCGGTCGATGTGTTTTTGGATGCGCTGAAGGCAAAAAAAAACAGCGAGTCAAAGACTCAGCCCAAAGAGAACTGGAGCGAAATCAATCGGAATCTCTACAGTCTGTGGAAGAAGTATCCGAACATAACTACCTTGCATGATATCGGTGTAAGCGACGAGAATCGCAGGATAATGGCTCTTGAGATTCATCGCAATGGTTTCGACTCCAGGTATCTACCCGCAATAGTATTCTCGGCAGGCGTTGCACAGGGAACACCCGTGACCTCCCGAGTTCTCGTGCGCTTCGCCTCTTACATACTGAGCAGCTACGACATCAATAAGCACTTGACCAACATGATTAGAAATTTTTCGATCTTCTTTGCCCCTGATTTGAATCCCGATGCCAAAAAAAGAGTACTGTGCTCCCTGGATCCCAACAATACTCTTCATTTTCCCCTTGACAGTTACAAAATCAAGTGAGTACGTCCACCAGGACAAAATAACGTTTATTTTTGAGCTAGAATTTTATTTTTCTTTGTTTTTATTTTTAGACGGAACGAAACCATCAAAACAATTGTGAATTGGTTCAAGAGCGTGAAGCCTGTTTTAACGGTAAATTTAAACAGCGGTTCTCAGCACGTGGAAATTCCATACGGCGACAGACAGAACGGCCGCAATCCCAGGTTACTGTTCAATACGGATGACGATAAGATACTGCAGCACTTTGCAAGCACGTACGCCTTTGGTCATCCAACAATGCCTCTAGTGAATAACAGGTGCGGCAGCAAAGTTTTTATACAAAACAGTGGCGTGACGCACGCAGGAATAGCCCAGTCCAAAGATAGGATGGACACATTCCTAGATTACATGTATCTACAGGCAAATACGTTGCCGCTTGACGCCTACATCACGTGCTGCAACGACGACAACGATCAGGACGTGTGGGAGAAAAACATGAAGAGCTTGCTAAGCGTACTTGATGAGGCGACCAAGGGGGTCTCGGGCTTTATTATTGGCAAGGACAACGAGGCCGTGGTCAACGCTGTGGTATCGCACGATACGTCGATACACAAGGTCGAAAGCCGAGAGAACGGCGCTTACTGGTTGCTTTTGCCATCCGGAAGTCATAGTATCACTGTAGAAGCTCCGGGATACTTTAAAATGTCCAAGATCGTTAACGTTACCTATGAGCAAATTTCACCCAAAGTAGTGTTCAAATTGCAGAGGAACGAGCGTTTCTTCGGACTGCCCCGTCTTGCGTTTGTGATAATATCTGGTAAACCAAATTTTTTCAGCTGCATGTGATTTTTTGTCATAACTGCCAATATTTTGAGTACTTGTTTAACTTTTTTTTTTTTTCTTCTTTCTTCAAAAATGTTAGGTGCAGTTTTCGTTACATTCAGCGCTCTGTGTATATTTATCGTTACCAAATGCCAAGCAAAAAAAAACCAAGATAGTGATAGGCGGCCTTATTCGTTTAGTTTGTTGCGCGACGGTAGTACTTTCTTCGATGACGATGAAAAAGAAGTAGAAATCTTCAAAAGAGTAACCAAGGGTAACTAAACTATCTCTAGACAGTTTTCTTTTTTTTTTTCTTGTTATTGATGGCATGTTTTTAATGATATTTTAGACTACCAGGAAGATAAAGCTGCAGTGCAACCTTACTTTGATGATGAAAATGATGATTCGAGTGCTGAAGGTAGTGATCTTGAATTTATAAGACCAGACAGGGAATGGAAAGAAGGATCTCCAGAATCATGTTAACTAATTAAGTTTCAGAACAGAGAATCTGATAAATGCAAACTAAAAGACTTGAATAGGTAATTCTACTTTTATATTTGTAGTATTGTTGAACATGTTGTTGGTATTCATGAGTGATTCATTTGTATATGCATGTATATAGGAAAAATAGAATGTTTATAATAATGTAATTCAAGAGAGCCCGATAGCCTGATTCAACTCTTTAGTTTTCTCAAAATTTTTATACCGATTTTTAACTATTTGAGTTCAAGTTTTATTGTTATTCAATACTTTCTTGAATAAATATTCGTGTACTTAATAATTTGAAACTAAAAAATACAAGTACAAACACAAACATCCTACATGATTAAAGTATTAATGTACAGCAAATATCCGTCCTAACAGGGTTACAGCATTACTCAAAGTGGTTGTACTGAAGTTATTTTACTTGATAATCACTGGGATATTCAATCCCTTTTGATAAATTTTTAATTATTTGTTAATATTTTATCATTGAAATACCTTTGCAAGTTGGTCAATTACTGATGATAATATTTCCAAGCGAGTATTTTTTATGACCAATATGTTAAATATATTTACACACACGTATTTACAACGGGTGAGTGATTTTTACAGATTTTTTACCGTACACATGCACTTAAGTCTAATTAAAAACAAGTTAACTAAATCTTTCGCGCTTTGGTTTTTTCTGTAATGAGGATAAGACGTTACAGTGTATTGATTTCATCGTTTCAGAGAAGGAAATGAAATTGAAAATCTCGGGTCGAGGTGGCTTTAAATATCGGCACTGCCAGCAGTCGGTTTTTTTGCTATTCAATTGCAGATTTGTGTGCCTTAATCGAAGGAAATTCTCAAAAATAATTTTGTTGGTCGGAATCAAGTTAGTTCTCATCCGATTTTTTTAGACATGTAACTTCTACTGGCAGCTATCATCTAGTTTAATTGATATACTATTTAATGGATAGTTTGAGAAAAGTAGCCAAAAAGTTAAAAATTTTGCGTTTTCTTTTTTCTAAATTAATTTTTTCAAAAGCAATTAGTGATAGGTGACGAAAAAGAATAGATTAACGGTGAAGATTTGATGATTGATTTTTTCTCTGTACTTTTTTTTCTTTGAAAAATTTTTAATAGTTAAGTTATGCGCTCAAACGATGTTATAGAAACTTTTACATAATGTAATACGTCAATAGTTTGCATTTTATACAAATTTTACTTTTTTTAGAAATGTTGAAGTGTATTTTCAGCTAACATAACTGTGATGTGCAAGAAGCTGGAGTAAAATTTTTTAACTACATAAGTATGCTTGTGAATTTTACGTGTGCTAATTTTATTATGTGATCGAATGCATTATTAATACTGTATTTGAATTTTCCAAGGAATTTGTCAAGTAAAAAATAAAAAACATTATTTATTATAGAAAATAATGAAATCGTATTTATTTAATCACATTGTAGTATATTTTACAAAAAATATACTCGACACTTTTCTGAAGTATAAAAATTTTTTATTTTATGAACACTTATAGTTAAAAGGCACTGCAAATTTTAGCAGTATTCTTATAAATGCAGAAAGACAATGTAAAACTTATTTACTACTTTGTAACTAAATATTAAATCTCCCTATTTCCTAAACTTTCTTTAATTGTGCACGTGATGAATGATGACTATTATCTGTGTGTATCATGAATGTTGAAATAAATATAAATAATACTTGAGTATTTTTACATTAAAAATAAATGCATGAATGCATTTTCATATTAGTCTTTTTTNTTGTTAAAAATGTTCGCAAATAGCAGATTTACCAATTGTTTGTCATTTTGGTATAATTAATATACTTACTACGTATATGAAAATATAACAAAAGTGAATTCAGTATGAATAAATAAATTCAAAATAGACTCTATTAACTAGTGGCACCAAACCTTCGTTGCATATGACTTTAATACATGTAATTCAATTATAATAGTGCTGTTCTTTATAAACTAAAATTTATGTTCTTAATAACTAAAAAAATTGAACTGAAGTGTAATACAGATGTGTAATGTAATTCATTTAATTGCATCCTATAAAATCATGAAGAGCCAAAAAATGAGTATAACTAAAAAAAGTTTTCTACTACTGAGTGCCATGTAGACCATACTTCATTGACATCTCAGATGTTAAAGCTCTATTTAAAATCTTATTTTGATTTACAATAACATTTTTTCTTACTCTTTGTACTCAGCCCGCTCATGTGCGCGTCACGTGAATTATTTTAGTCGTCGTAACGATAGAAAAAAAAAAGTTTTATCAGTCATAATCAGGTGTTGGAAAGTAGTGAGGTGCCAATACGTTCCAAAGTATTGCGGCAGCCATGAGACTTACGTACGTGAACAAGCTCAACCACCAAACGACCTTTTCCCACGTTTGTACTTCAAGATTTCTCAATATATTAATACCAACGAGAAGGCCAGCTATGGCACCGGCAAGGTGAGCAACGTAGCCAATCTGACTGTTTGCATCATTAAAGAAGTACCGCTGATAGATAGCTTGGCCAACATCTACGGAAGTGACTATAAGAAAGACAAGTAATTGAAGTGCCGCAAATTCCATCTGCGACCAATTCATCACGATCGTTGCTACGTGAGCTGTTATTAAGGCGTACACGCCACCAGAAGCACCAGCCAAGTAGACCCCAGGATCGGATATCGAAGTACCTAACGAACCAGCCAACACTCCCGCGAAATATATTATTAGCACACGCCACCATTTGTGCACCATTTCAAGAGGTATTCCCAACATCACTTGTACCAATAAATTAACAACCAAGTGAAAATTTCTGTAATTAACAAAAATTGACATATTAGTAAACAATACTTTATTATTACATTATTATGGAAATAAAATAGAAAATACAATACACTTACCCAACATGTACAAACATATATGTGATATACCTCCATGCTTGGTATCTTTTTGTAGGATTGTATATGAACAAAGTTGCAGTTGGTCCCTTCACGGGTGGCGTGCCTTGAGCATTGAAAAATACATCACTTATAAAGAGCATGATTTCTATTAAACTTATAATTATCATGGCAAGTGCTGGGGGATTGCAAGTGTATTGCTCTTCATAGATGCCATCAGTAAAATCACGAGATCTTTGGCCTTGAAGAGTCCTAGACTGGCCACAAGGTCTGGAGGGAATCAATGTTGTGATGTATCTGTTTGCATAAGATCCAAAAACACCTTGCAAATCTTTTCTGTGGATCTATAAAAAAAAACGTGAATTTGAATTATTGAAAATTTGAATTTTCAGCAAAAATGATAATTACAATATGAAATCTTACCATAGCAACAAATTCTGGGTACTCTAAGTATCCCGAGTGGTCCAAATCTGCTTTTTGCATAACGTACTTGACCACACGACTTGGAATGTCATGTTGGTAATTTTGGTGACCTGAACCCCTAATTACTTCTCTCAGTTCCTGAAAGTTAATTTTGCCATCTCCATCTGCATCATATTTCTCAAAAATTCCTCTCCAATACTAGAAAGTTTAAAGCAGTTAATAATGTAATATTTTTCGGAAATGATGAAATTTGTGAAATAATAGAAACTTTCATACATCGTCATTTCGAAACTGCAAAGGAAGCTCAATGGCTGCTTCACTGTCTTGGTGTTCCACAGGCATCTTTATTAAGTAGAAATTTCTGAAAAAAATAACCATTCAAGTATTAAAGAGTAACACTGAACGTTATAACTAAAAAAAAAAACTTGATAGACAAATAAAAAATTATAAATTACTATAAATTTTGATAAAAGCGTTAATTATACAGTAAAGTTTTGGAATTCATAGGAATCAGATAATTTAATGAACTCAACCCTTTCGTTTAACAACCTATCGATGAACAGGATAAAAAATAGGATTTCACGAAAGTGAGAATAATTATAAAGATGTTCTATACACAATAGAGAGAAAAGTACCAGACAACCAACAGGTGGTCTTGGAATAGATCAGTGAACGAAACATTGCAACACAATGGACAGGTACAACAAGCCATGACACAATTTTTTCGATCTTAAAAATTTCATACCTCGCAATAAGTATCTAAATGACAGGTGTTCCAATAAGGGTACGATCGTTTTGGCGGACGCCTACACACTAAACAGCAGGTACACGGAACTCGGTATACTCAGGAAGCGTCTATATAATATTACATAGGCTATAGGTATCACAGGATAAGAAAAATCTTATCAAACCGGCACGACGCCAGATAATCTGATAAAAATGAGTCAGATTTTTTACAGAATTAGTCACCGACATCGGTACGTAAGTACCAGAGCAACCAGCGACGATATACCGTTACTTCAAAAAATCGAGTCGATCTATATTTTTTAAAGCAAACGAGAAAAGAAGAGCATCGTAACTGCATCAGAGAGGAGAGCACACACAGAAACACACGTAAAATGATGTATATTATACACAAGCACGAATGATCTTAACCTCCGGTGACTCCGCTCTCGCCCCTCTGACTCCGCTGCGCCCTACGCGCTTGATATATATTTTTACACCGCACCCTATAAGTAGATGATGCATTATGTTTAACTTTACCTTTACGAGAATGGAATATACTTTTTGTATTTTTCAAGTTTTTTAAGTGTATGAATTACTTATGTTTCATCTTACTCAAAGACTAAAAATTGCAGCGATGATTAAAGCTAAGTAACTATACAAGTACAGATCGATCGACGGAGAAGAAATATCAAATACCTATATATAATGATACCTACTTAAATAAAAAAGCGTTCAACTTCGCCGTGTGCACACTTGTCCGCTTCTGTCGATGTGAAAATCGGATGTCGTGTGCCGCGGTTATTCATGTTGGCGTGTCTCAATGTTGTTTATGGTGCGTTTAAATCTGTACAACTGGAGTTTCTTAAAAGGCAAAGTTGTTTTAAAATCCTTTCAAAGAACTTTTTGTTATTAAATTTTTTTTTTTCTTTTTGAACTTTCTCGCAACTCTCGACTCGATTTTTCTATTTAATTCTCATTCATACACGTAACAGCTTCCAGAAATAGCGCGAGCAAATTTCATTCCTGATTTGTACATTTAAAAATTGTTTATTGCACCGTATATGTATACTCAAAGCGCGTGTGTAATATTATATACATTTTTTTTTAAATTGTACGTATACAATGATGCGTATAGCTGGATGTTCATAAATTGTTTTTTCTTCGATAAAATTAATAAAACTCTTGCATGGTAATTAAAAAAAAATCCCAAGTTAGTGTATACTTTCACGTATATATATATGTAGGTACTCGTTGGCCTGGCAACGATTCATAACAATGGGACGCAAACAAAAAGAGCCACTTGATCACACACCGCATCGTGCGTTCGTTTGTTTGTGCTCTGCACTTGCAGTGCTTGAGCATATATACCACGCGCGTGAGTAACTCTTTTCCTTTTTATCACGAACCTCGTGTTACATCTGTACCCCGGCAGCTATCAACTGCCCCGATAAGTGATGAGAGAACGCGCTATTTTTACAAAAAGCTGCGACGCGATACCTCAACCCTTGGATCGAGACTCGCCAATCGATGTAGCCTTTTAATAACAAAGTCGTGTGTCTGTAAGAGTGACGTTATGCTCGAGCCATCGAAAGGAAAGACCAAGATATCCGGGAGGTACCGGGTCGAGCAGCCCATGGAAAATTTTCGCATCAGGTGAGCCGATGTAGTTTAAACCAAACTCCACTTGTACTTTCGACCTTCTTTTTTTTTTTCTCCCTCAAGTCCAGACAATTGTTTGCGAAGCGAAAACATAAGCAAACACCCCCGCATCGTTCACTCACTCTCTGCGAGTCTATAATTACGCGGTACATTAACTCGCCCCCTCGGGCTGTTACTTTTTCGTTTTTACTCGGGAATTACATATACGCAACATTGTTTTTCTCTCTCTCTATCGATTGTTTATCCGAGGAGTATATAATTTTACAGCGAGAGAATCCAAGTTGACCTTGAGACCCCAAAGAAAATGAACGAAGACGTGTTGACTATAATGATTGTACACAGAGTGAAAATCGTGCAGCAAAAGTCGCTCCTGGCCGAGTTGTTCGAAAACGAGGACGAGACGCTGGACAGCAACTTCCTCGAGGCCGAGGAGCACGAGTTCGCGTGGCAGGAGAAGGTATTCGGGCCGTACGAGGCCAAGTACTACCGGGAGGAGCGCAACTGCACGACCGACCAGCAAAAGGAGTACCGGCGCCGTTTGCTCGAACAGACCGAGGACGCCGATGGCTCGCGGCTCTACTCCTACGTCCAGGGCGACGCCTACTGCCCGGACCCGAATCCGATCACCGGCACCTACCGCTCGAGCTTGTCCGTCAAGAACGAGCAGGCCTTGCCGCCCCTCAGAAACCGCAAACCCTTCCCCGAGCGCTACAACAAACAGGTCGTCGACCACGCGCCGTCCGACAGGAGGATACGCGAGAACCACTACCTGTACACGGTTAGTATATATCGTTTATTTTTACACCTGGTTTTTTTTTAATACAAGGTAACAATCATCGGTGTGTACATGTATACATGTGTATATGTGGTGTATTTATGTTGCCAAGGAGCGCGTTAACATGTACATCGTGGTCGACCTGTCGCCGAAGGACGAGGGCGCGGTGGCCTCGACCGACTCGGAAGCCCTGCTCTGCGCGATAAGCTACGATCCCCTGCACCAAAGTTTGACGGTCAGCCCGGATTTTTCGACCCTCGAGTGTTACAGCGTCGACGGGATCGGAATGAGCTACGACTTTTGGCTGGAGCACGCGTCCCAGAAACCGTCGGTGCGCGAACTCCAACGCCACAGGGAGAACATGAAAAAAGTTAGCGACTTTATAATACACCTCCTATATAATTATGCGGTCAATACCAATGACATGCTGGATTTCGGCTGTCCCAAAGGGTGTTTTAAATAACAATCCTATAATACATAATAATCAAGTATAGACAAACTCACCCGATGAACGAAATTTCTGATATCTGTCGCAGCATCCGTCTCGGTATGTTCATGTTGTCCGGAGCATTCGACTCTCAGAAAAAAGGAAAAAGAAAAATACACAAATGCCAACACCACTTTTCGCTATTTTATCCCCTTTACGATATCCTTTCACTTTTCCAATTGTACTATTACCGATCTAATTACCACGTCGCTCATTCGTGCTGAAAAAACCAAACACAATCAACAACAATATATTATGCACTTCAACACCGCGAAAGCGTTATATACCGTCTCCTCACTCGCATTTTGTACTTGGATGGTCCACGTTTGAGTGAAAAATTGGTCTGTCTTCCGCCTCTCTGACGAGCCAAAGCCACGCTGTTACTTAATTATCACGCACTTGCGGACGCTCAGCGGACAAACGCTACTGTCTGATCACACTGACCGGTGTTTCGAGCGCGACTCCAACTAAATACCCCTTTTCGCTTAATCAATCCGAGTTTCCACCCACGCTCTCCCTCTTTAGATGCTATACATGTTTTCCTTTGAATCCCGTGTTTTTTTTTCTTCTTCCTACAAATAGATTATTTGGCCAGAGAGAGAGAGATCCGCTCGTATCGCTCGCTCTATGCGCTTTAGGCGCGTTTTCCCGCTTCGCGGGCTCTTTATATATGTTTTTGTTGCCGCACCTCGAGATAACAGCTACGGGGGGGTTAGCAGTATGTGTATAGGTGCATCGCCGTGTATGTTGCGCGATAGAGGCTTTTGTTGAGAATCATCCGATTTTTTTTTCACTTGATTTTTAATTTTTTTTTTTTTTTTTCCAAAGAGCCCATGTCTCGGATATCCAGACTTGAGTAGGGGTTTTCGTATCTGTACATGTAATAAAGGTGATTGAAACCGTCCGATTCACTTTGGAAGGAATGTTCGATAAGCCACAGTGTCGATGTAAAGTTCTTTGTCATTGAAATATTACATTAGCCGAACTTTTGGAGCATACTTTCCCTTGATTTTTTTTTTTTTTTTTTTTTTTTTTTTTTTTTTTTTTTTTTATTTTTTTTTTTTTTTTTTTTTTTTTTTTTTTTTTTTTTTTTTTTTTACCGATGACAATCACAGCAAGTATACTAAGTATAGGTGCCTGCAGCGTCATTCTTTTCTTTGTGCAAATATAATAATACCTAATAATTGTAGATAGCGCCATAACTGTCACAATACTCATCGTTTGTATTTATTTCTCTTTCACCGCGCCGGAGCTTCCTCTTGTTTCGTCACGATGAAAAAAAAAAGAGCCGATGCAATTTTTCCCACGCGGCTGACTAATACCACCAGGAATGTCAAAAGTGTCTTATCCATTGTCATTTGCAGAGCGACAATCGGTGGGTTATCAACGCGCGATCGGACCCTTTCGATTGTTCGATCGGAGATCAAGAGGACCTAAATATTTTTCATTTTCACCCTAACTAGACTTATTTACTATATGATCTTCAATAAAAGTATACATCTACTACATCTCGCGTTATACGCGTTAGTTAATACATGTATTTATCTTATCAACTGAAACTTTTAAAAGTGATCAGATAAACCTTACGTCCGAGATGTATGTATAGATATTGTATTAAAAATCGATTAACGAAAAGGAGTATCGTTGCAAAGCATCTCCTTCACTTGCATGTATATGTAAAAATGAAAGCAATAAATTGTGTCTAATGAAACATACCTTGCCGATTTATGCAAGAGGAAAAGGAGGAAAAATAGCACCGTTGCAGGAAATAAGCGAGTCGATTAATCTATACAGCTACATACTGATTCCTTATGTTCCGCTGGTTGTTTTGCAAATGCAACGATTAATGCCACCTAATCTCATTGTCAAAGATAAAAAGCCGTCAATACATGAACCGCCCAAAGTAAAAAGAAAACAACCGCAGGAGCTGCAGCGGATCCGCAGCCTGAAGGAGGCGCACCTGTTCCACGAGATCTTAGCCCCGCAGCCGCGCGTGCTGCGCATGTATCTGAGCCTCGACATCGGGGCAGCCCGCGATTTCGACAGCGACGACGGAGTCTTCGTGACGTATTACCTTGACCTGCCGTGCCACTGGCGACCGGCGTCCGAGGTTGATCGGCGCAAGCTCACGGGCCGAACGCAGAGGTGCAGGGCTCGAAACAAACAAGCCAACCTATCCTACTGCGCGGAAGTCCTGCTGGATCTGGACCTGACCGAACTGGTTGCTGCGAAGGGGACCACGGAGCTGCCCGCTTGGCCGAGGGTTTTGATCTCCGTAGCTTCGCTGGACAGCTGGACCAGGTTAGGCCATTTTTCTCTCCAGTGTGCCATTTTATTATCAAAACTTTTCACGATATTTAACAAGTTGCGATGGGTTCGGATATAACTTTTGTAACTTCAAAATCTATGAATCTCTGTTTCACTCTCGGGTGACTAAAACTCCAGTTACTATCGTGGATCTATTTGACAGGAAAAATCTGTACACCTTCGTTTCTCAAAAGCTATAGCCCTCTTTTACGTAATATAGATGTGGAAATTCCAAGGTCAGCGAAAGATCTGATAACTTTGACGCGCAAATAAAAAGCGAATGTGTAAAATGACGTAGTTTTTGTATTCAAAATCGTTCACGATATAAATGTATTCCTTATACTTTTGCGAGTAAACGCGCACGTGTTTACGATTGTCAAATTTTCGCGAAAAGGAAAAGTCAAAGACTCCAATTCTTTGTGGACTCCAGGTACAGAATCGAGGGCTACGGCTCGCTGGCCCTGCCAGCCGAGGCCGGCAGCTACAACTTTAGCCTGAAAACCTGGCGCCCGGCGGCCGGACTCGTCGACAGTCTCCGCCGCGTCTTCACCGGTGGCACCTGCGAGCTCGACGACATCACCTACTGCGCCATCCCCGCCATGCACGAAGGGCCATTTTTGGACAAGGCCCCCCTCAAAGTCGTGCCCAGCGGCTGCGTCGAGCTGCGTCTGAGCGTCGTTCACCAGAGCCAGAGCTTCGCCAGGTGCTGGGCGCTCGGGTCGGGAGACCGCGGGGAAAAGCTCCAGGCCGGCAAACTGCTCAGCAGCGTCGAAGACGTGCTTAACCAATTCAAGGCGGCCCGGGAGCGCATGATCCAGGCCAGGTCGATGTGCTCGTAAAACCAAGATTTTTTTTTCTCTCCCTCGTTTCTTCTATGGGTCTTAAAAAACCACAAATTGCCGTCTTGCATGCGTTTTGAATGAAAGTGGGCGTGTTTTATGATCTCTCGTAACGGTGATTTTCTTTTTTTTTTTTTTTTTTTTATTTCAACAAAAATAACAATTTACATTGAACTGTTTTATCTTTCGTCCATCTTCGCCGTCGTCATCGTTATTGTTTTTCGTTCTGACAGTAGTCATAGTATCATTAATTATTATTGTGTGTCTCTGTATAATGTTACACCCTTAGATTACTGGTATAGGCGTTCGAAGCGCTCGCTATTTAGTGTTATATTTTTTTTATCCGTCTTTCAACCAACAGGTTTTTTTTATTTTTCATTTTATTCTAATAGCGTCTGCTTGATTATTTTTTATAGAGTAATGATCGTAGCGTGATTTTTATTTTGTTTGATAGACATGCGCGACAACGACAAATTTAATGACGTTTTATACGTAATTTTCACTCCCCTTTCGCCCCTTAGCTTATTTTAATACCTCAAAAAAAAAAAAAAAAAAAATTAGTAAAAAGAGGTGCGCCTCGGGCATTCTTACATGTATTTATACAGCCTTATCTCTTCGTGGGGCGGACCGACATCTGTGCTTGTGACGAAGCTGATCTCACCGGGTTTATTTACTTATAGTACTTGTTTATGTTTAGGTGTGTGGTTTTATTATTTTTTTCTGTTAATTTTCACTTCGTTCAATAGGTACACGTATTTATTTTTTTTTTAAATGGTAATATATGATATCACTTAAGGCATATAATTTATAGTATGCGGGAGAGGGGGGGGGAACGAGAAGAAGAAAATTAAAAACAAAAGCGCATTAGAAGTTTTAAGTTCATTCAGTTTTTAAAATTTGCATTTTTCTGCGATGGATTTTAACGACAGAAGGAAAGATGTAAATTGAAGTATATTTCATCGAGAAGCTGCATACCGGTCAACATAAAAAATCCGTAAACTGAGGCTGTCGCAATTTCGATTTTTTTTTTGTCAAGAAATGCTGAGGAAGTAAATACAGGAAGACTGTTTTTATTCTCTTACACATCTGTATTTTTATCTTTCTTTTTGTTTCCATAATTCATCAGAAATAATGCGTTCTTGCGCACATTTTCTTTTCATTTTCTTTTTATCAACAGAAAATACCATAATTAAAATTCTAATATCACAAAGTTTTTTTTTTTCATCGTCATCATTCACTTATAGTGAAAAAGTTTTTAATCAATTTTCTTTACTACTATCGTTGTGCGGATCGTGAGGTATCGGGTGCTTCGAAATAATCGAAATGCTGAATAAATTTACGCGCGCGTGTATATTCGTTGATTTATTTTGTTATTTTTATATAATGATAAAACACATGTTTTTCATCCGTTCGTTATACGAACGATCGATTAAAAAAATATCGAGCGTTAGAGATCGTTAAGTGACTTCTTCATCCTTACTTCTTATTTTATTTTTTATCGAATACATCGAGAGCCATTTATGATGACACAATAATTTTTAAATACGTTCAGACGTAGGGTTTGATAATTAGGTAATAAATAAAAAGATTAATCGTCACTATCGAAAGACTATATGTATCATCGAGTACAACTATAAATGCAAACAATTTCTGGAGACTTTTTTTTATGTAATGTGCAGTTGAATTAATTTTGTTTTTAATGCCATCTAAAACAAACTGAGTCCAATAGAATATAATAATAAAAATCCAAATACTAAATGTACGAAATTGTCAATTAAGTATTGAAAATTTTGTAAAGTTTTACTCATAAAAGCGTGAAACAAAAATTATTTTAACGGTGCATTCCAACGATTTCAAGACAATTTTTTTATGTATTCGTACAAAATCAAATGATTTCCCTTTAGAATAAAAAAATGCTGATAAAATTTCTTGATATTTTTATATTAACCATCAAAACATGTATTTCTTTTTAATAGCAATATATTTACAAGTAGAAAAAATATTAAAGATCAAATACCGATCAACATCTACCATTACAGTTACCCATTGAGTTTTAAAATTTTTTTTTTTTAATCATCACAGATCACAACAAAAAAAAAGGTTATCTCTTATTTTTTTCTTTTTTACTATCTTGAGGCAAAAAAACAACGACGCTGTATTGCACCGACAAGTAAAAAATCAGAAAACGTAAACAAAACGCGAGATTCCTGTATGATCAAAGATTCAATTCATTAAATTACGTACAAATAAAAAAGTATGGATTCTACGTGATTGTAGATGAAATTTTAATCAATGGTGTGACGCGTTTTTTTTTGTTTATCTCGCTTTTCCTCAAATCTGCTCATATATTTTTTCTTGCTCTCACAAATCGACATAGGATACGCTTTTTTATATTTTTTATCGTAAGCTTTTTTTTTTAATTGTTAAATAAAATAATACCCACAACTAATCATTCATCGACGATTTAATAATTTTCTTTAATAAGTTGTTTATTTCAATCATCAGAGAACGTAAGATTGGAAGGGGAAATTTTTCCCTAGTCAGTTCTTGGTTTTTCATTCTATGCAACTACGTTACTTGGACTGTGCCTAAAGTTTTTTTTTTTTTTTTTTTTTCATCTTTATCCTTATTCTCTATACATTATAATAAGCTAATAATCATATGATTACTTATTATTTACTTTTAAATGATAAGAATAAGTACTATTTACAACGCTTAAGTTTACATACTTTTATTCTTTATTTTTCTTTATTCATCATTTTATCATTATCCATTATCATTATCATCACCATCATCGTCATTATCATTATCGTAATCATCGTAATCATCTCCAACTATCATCATACACCACCATCACCACCACTGTCATAAAAAATCGTCGGCATTATTATCAACATATTAACATAATTACCATCATGAATCCATTTTTACTTGGAAAAAAGAAGATTGGAAATTGAAGTAAATGAAAGAAGGTGGTGACGGTGTGGCACCGCATCACTGTCAAATAGTACATCGATTACTCTCGTTATGTTTGCCAATGACTTTTACGTGTATACTTTTATATATCGTTCTTTCATTCATTTAAATTTCCGTAATCTATCTAACGACTACACTTCTTTTTTTTTTTTTTTTTTCTTTCGAGTCTCTTATCTCTCACACAAAATATCCTCAGATTGAACGTTCACATTGTATCAGACACGTGTAATAACAGACTCATTCGAAATAAAAACAATCACACCATTAACGCCACATCTCATCAGTTTAACGATTATATACTACGTAATTCATATTTACAAAAGCGTCTGCATTGTAAACTCACGGGGCTACACGTTTGCTTTATTTTATGCTTTGCTGAAAAGTTTTTGCACTTCCACTTACTAGCGTTTACATCGTTTACATATAAATAGTGCACACATAGCGTACAAACGTTCATCACCCTGTTCCATTCTTATAATCGTATTTTTTAAACTTCGCAATCGCAACGGACTTATGTTGTACCGACGTTGGAATGAACGCTGACTTGTTCGATTCTTTTCCCACGAAAAAGAATTGTACATTGCACGTTGTTCATTTTTTTTTCTTTCATTATCATTCAGTGTGACACGACAACTCGTCTGCTACGTAACGATTTTCGCTTTCCTAAACTAAAAATAAAGTTTTTTTTTACAGTTTATCGAGTTTAGAAAAATTCACTTCCCGATAACTGTCAATTGTTATGTACATATTTCGCGCAGAATACATTTTGTTTTTCATAATAATATTAAAATTTACCAAAATTAAAAATAAAAAAAGAATCTTGGAGTTGAATCCCAAGGCGTAATCTACATACTTTATTTAGCTCAATATGTTACAACTTGATATAACTTTTCTCATTAAACAAATAAAATTAAAATAAAAGTTTATAAATTTTACATATACAACATTTGGTTAAAATACAAATACAAAATAATGTTGTTCATTGGCACTCTGCGCTCGTCGGATTGCTCAATAGATGTTTGTTACAATAAAACAAAGCAAAAAATGTCCATCGTATCAAACAGTGAAACAAAGTACTATTATCAATGACATCATCAAATTGTTCGTACAATTCACGTAGAGGAAAAAAAAAAAAAAAAAAAAGGAGTTATCACGAGTAAAGGTAAAAATACAATGCGACTGTTTTTATTCTCTTACACATCTGTATTTTTATCTTTCTTTTTGTTTCCATAATTCATCAGAAATAATGCGTTCTTGCGCACATTTTCTTTTCATTTTCTTTTTATCAACAGAAAATACCATAATTAAAATTCTAATATCACAAAGTTTTTNAAAAAAAAAAAAAAAAAGGAGTTATCACGAGTAAAGGTAAAAATACAATGCGTGCATAGAAAAAGCTTACTTCAAAATTACATCTATATTTACACCTTAAAACTCCTCATGATTCAAAATAAAATCAAATTTTTTATACTCAACATTCATTTCCCTTTATCTGAACAGAGCTTATAAAAATCAAGCTAGAAAAAGTTGAAAGTATTATAAAAAGACCGCATCATATATTTTTACAACCACCACGTACAATATCTGCTTTATCTCGCGAGACACACGATAGAACAACAAACACACATGCCTTTTCTTTCTCTCCGTCCTTGCTCTCTTATCACCAAATGTCGTTGCTGCTCTTGTAACCTCTCACTGCAGAGTAGCAATAGTTTGAAGTAGTAATAGAAGCAGTAGTAATAATAATATTAGTCAGCGACGCAAATGCATCGAGTCAGAAAGTTGTGGTGTTCCTATAACACTATCCTTCGGTTTTTTGCCCCGTAATATCAATCCTCGTCCGAAAGCGGCTCATATTGAGCGGAAAGGAGAGGCGCGGGCTCCTCAGTCTTTACAACCGTAACAGCCGCGGTGTTCGTCGGCGGTGGCGCCGGCGGTGGCCCCGTGTGCACGCCCAACGCATTGTATGGATAGAAGGTCGTGGGTGTCGGCACTGGAGGCTGTGGTGGCTGCTGTTCTCGCGGGGACTCGTCTATCACCATCTCGCCGCTGGGCGAACTATCGGCGCATGACTTATCATCCTTGTCGTTTGCACTGCCACCATTACGATCACCACCACCTGAGCTTGACTTGTCGTCCTCCGTTCTCATCACCTCGACAATCTTGTTCTTGACGTAGTCGAGTGGCGACAGATGTGACTTGCTCGACGGTGTCACGGGAGTCGTCGTCGTGGCAGCACTAGGCTCGTAAAAGCGCCGCGGATAGTGATTCGTCGTCGGTTCGGGCGGTGAGACGGGCTCATGTTGGAACTGCGGCTGCAACTGTTGTTGACTCTGATGTGTTGGTTGAGTCTGCGACGAGGGTGGATTTTGCTGCGCAACTCGGATTATTTGTCGCTCGTCGCCAGGTTTCACCGAATCCGCTTCCCCCCCTTTTCTCCTCTTCCAATCTTCTGGCATTTGATAACTATAATTTAGATAATTTCAAATGAGACATTTTACTAAAATTTATGCATAATACGTTGTTTCTGGTATACCAACCCCGGGTAAGGTCTGTAGGAGGAAGACATTGGTCCGTAATCTTTGTTAACTATGTGGTCGACATGCTCGCCTAAAGTGAGACCCTTGTTCACACTGTTGCTTGCATTTCCACTACCCGAGCTGCTGTTTGCATTTTCTTCTCCAGCTGGACTGTGGGCCATGCCATTGGGTTCAGATGGACTGTCCCTATGAAAATTCTGTAAGCGAAAAAAGAGTTAAAAACATCGTTACTCTTCCGTTTGTTGAGCTACGAAGATTTTCAAATTTTGTGACAATTACCCGAAAAAGTCGATCACCAGGTCGTGATTGATTGTTGGAGGGATTCTTATCACTGCTAGTGTCGGCAGTCTGATTTATCTGATGCGTGATTATGGCATCGATCAAGTTAGCTGCTGTCAACGTGGAAGAATCACTCGACTGATTGGAAGTTGACTGACTATGCCTGGCAGAAGGAGGTGGTGCCTGTGACTGTGAAGGATGCCTCGGATGTTGATAGAAACCACCAGCTTTCGGCATGTTTGGCGACTCACACTGACGCGATTCAGCGAGTTCTCTGTGAAATAACAGTAAGATGTAATTATAATACGAGTCATTAAAGTATATTCGTCCTTGTGAAATTAAAAATAAAAATTCACCTGTACATATGGTCGTGCTGATCTTTATAAAGCTGTACGATATGCCGTCGCTGTTCCGCTTCGATTCGCTGTTGATGTTGCTGCATATGCTGCATCTGTTGTTTCTGATATCTCTGCTGCTGTTGCTGCAAATAAACCATGTTGTCTCTTTGCTGCTGCATGGCTAATCTGTGATCAGCCTGCTGTTGCAGCTCTTTATCTCTCTTTTGCTGGGCGAGCCTCATTTCCTGTTGCTGCTGCATTTCTTTTTCTCGTTGTTGAACGGCCAGCCTGTGCTCCTGATGTTCCTTTTCGCGCTGTGCAGCAGCCGCGACCATCTGCATCTCCTTCTCGCGCTGATGCTGGTGTTGTTGAACTAGCCGATAGTGTTGCTGTTGCATGTCTTTCTCGCGCTGTTGCTGTTGCTGGTGCATGTTTAGCCTGTGCTCCTGTTGCTGCTGTTGAATCTCCTTTTCGCGCTGTTGCACAGCCGCTCTGTGATCAGCTGCTGCTTGAGCAACCGCAGCCTGATGCAGCTCCTGCTCACGTTGCTGAGCCAGTCGATGCTCTTGCTGCTGTTGAAGTTCTTTCTCGCGCTGCATCCGCTCCATTTGCTGCTGATGGTGTAGCTGTTGCTGCTGCTGTTGTTCCTTTTCACGCTGGAGTCGCTGTTGCTGCTCCTCTTCCTGCTTCTCGCGAATCAGCATGTCTCGCTCCCGCTGTTCCTCTCGTTGTTGCATAGCCACGGCCATTTGATACTGTGAATGAGCCAGTCTGGGCATGTTTTGCAACGGGCGGCTGTCGATGTGACGATCAGGGTAAATCCGATCCATCGACATGTAGAGCTGCTCATGACCACTGCTACTCGCTGGTTGGTGCGGTACAGGTAAACTTGGCTGTTGAACGGCAACATCAACGAGGCTTGAAAAAGCTTCGAGACCTGGCGGCGGAGGTGCGTAGTGCTTTGTCGTATTGTGCCTCTGAATAACACCTTGGCGTGGTTGCTGGTGAGGTTGGGGCGGTGGAGTATTTGCGCAGTACAACGTAGCTGGAGATTCGCTCTTGTTACCAGATTCGGGCAAATTACCGATTCGATTTCTGTGTTGCATCTGCTGACTAGTTATGTAGTCGTTCATGATGATTTGACGCGAGGACAGCTGCTCTACCGTGTAGTTCGACGTTTGTCGTGGCGGATACGAGTTGTACTGACTGCTGTGGGGAACAAATTTTTTTTCTTTTTAATTAGCGTTTCACTCAAAAATTTTAATAAATTGATCATGAAATCAGTTTTTACCTTTGGCCATGGCTAACGACGACTCCTGAATTCTGAGCCTGCACAGGCACATTACTTGTTGTAACAGGCGAGTGCCGAATGGAACGATGATAATCGTACATCGGAGACCGTTTGTCGACAGCAAACGGATGTACGGGAGTACCTTGAGTAATGGAACCACCTTCTTTGGAACCAACTAAGAATGTGACGGATCAAGTTAAGATTAAAGATATCTTACTAACACATAACTCTTATAGATGCTGATTTAAAAGATAAAACCATACCTGTGGTAGGACTTGGATTAGGCTGATTGGTATTTCCAGGCGGAGTCATTTGCCTGAGCAGTCCGTCGTACCTTGCACTCGACACAGGAGTACCATGAGTAATCGAGCCAGTCTTGTGTGGTGTGCTCATGTTGGTGAGTTTGGGCGAGAGCTTGGGATGTGTCGATACTACCGCTGCCACCTTGTTCGTGAGCTTTGGAGTAAGTGGGGCCTGAGGTCGCGGTGACGAAACATACACGTGCGGACTCTTGGCACCACGTCCCTGAGGCTCCTGCGGCGGATGGGGATGCGGGTAGTAATGACTGGACGGCGGAGTTGGTTCTGGCCGGTAGTGGCTCATCGGCGCGGGTTTGTGGGAAGACGGCGGTGGTTGTAACGTGTGATTGTACTCCTGTTGTTGACGTGGCTTTTTTATACTGAGATCAAGCGTGCCTTCAGTCTCTCGCATCGCCTGCTGAGCCTAAAAATTTCATAATTTTAGGGTACAAACATCGACGAGGACGAAAAACTTTAATAGATCAAAAAAAAAAAAAAAAAAAGTACCTGCATAACAACAAGTCCTTCTTTTGGCAGCATATCCTGACTACTAGGCTGTGGTTGCTGGCTGGGTGTCGGAGGCGGACAGGGAGTGATAGTTGCCTGCATCTGACTAATCTGCTGTGGACTCGGAGCCGAACGATGGGCGTGCGATCCCGAGACCACGGACAACGTCGCTAGACTCGATTCCCTGCTCGCCATGGCAGTGTTTGATATATTCGGTACCTGTGAGGCCGACTTGTAATCACGCAAATAGCCGATATCGTTGCGATGATCTATCTTCAAGATACTCGATATCGTAGGTGTGCCCGAACTCACTGGAATCGAGGATGCCGGGCCACTATCCGATGGGGTGCGCTTTAACTGCATCTCAATAACTCCCAGCATAAGATCCTTTAACATGAAGCAATAATATTCACGATGAATAACAAGCTAAAGACTATCCTTGTCAATAAATCTGATTGTTCAAACTTACCTTGACCGTAAGCGGATTGGGTCCACTGGTAGTCGAGGGTGGAGAGTGAACTAAAACTGGCTGTGGGTGAGTCTGTACGATAGACTGAGATGATGGGTGAGAAGACGCGGTGCTGCTACTAGCGTTACTAGCAGTAGGCGGAGTGAACGTTACCACGACGCCAGTATTGTCCAAATCCGTGCCACTCTGACCTTCGTCCGCCGTCTCCTGGAACAAGTCGTTGTACCTCTATCAGCCGGCCCTCTCACGATAGGAGGGACGATTGAGGCTCAAAAAAAAAAAAAAAACCAAAAAAAAAACCAAAAAAAACAAACAAACAAACAAACAAACAAACGAGTCCGCGCAGCATGGTGCCAGCCAATGGCGTTTCGAATGTCGTGAGTACTCGAATGGATGAGGGGAAAAAAAAAAAAAACATACTAATTTGGAGATTCTTGAACGTAATAACAATTTTGACAGGCCGTGTAAACTTTACGAGGAACCATGGGTATGTGTATAATATTTTCCAGAAGAATTAGAGAGATGAAGGAAAAATGAGAAATGACGAGTGAAAGAGAGAGAGAGAAAGAGAGATGTGGGGTGAGTCAAGAGAAGTTCTGCTATACCGATTGCGCCGCGTAACGGTGCAATCGGTCTTACCGTGGCAGAGCTGTCGTAGTCTTCCCTCGTGCTAGTGGGTGGGTTGGTCTGTGGTGTCTGGGAAGAGGACATCGGTGACGGTGCTATCAACGAGACCACTGCTACGTCCGCTAGTTGTTGTTGTTGTTGTTGTGCTTTTTCACCCACCTTAGTCTCCTGCGCCTGTGGAAAGCCCATGGTCAGAGCGGCACCGCCGCTCGATTGGACCGCCGACGACGTTGACGACGACGACGACGACGCCGCCAGGATCGACGTCGGCGTGCTACTTGGTATCGTGTTAGCGGGACTACCCGCGCTCGCCGTATCGCTCGAGTCGTGCACCTGTTTCAATAAAACAAGCGTGAAAAAGAAGAAAAATCTCGAAAAAGGCAACACAAACACGTTCACCACAGAAGAGCTACTACTCACAGCCAATTCATCACAGCTACTGGTACTACTCCCGCTCTCCTCCTCATCGGTCAAACACGGCCTCCTCTCCTCGCCGAGCGACTGGTAATACTCGGCGACAACTTGATCCAAGCCGAGCTTCTTCCTGTACGTTAGATAGTACGTCTTACACTGATGGTTCGTCTTGCCGGCTATCTGTTCCGAGACCTTGGGCCAGTTGGTGCCGTGCTCGCGAAGTGCCTTGCGCATGAGTTCGAGCTCCTCGTCCGTCCACTGACGACCCAGAGCTACGTCCACATCATCAGCCGCGTCCCCGCTTCCGGAAAAATGGGGCGCCAGCCGTCGCGATATCCGATTGAAACACGCCGAACAGCACTTGGTCACGTTGCTCGGGATCTCTGCAACAACGAAAGCCAGCAAAAGTAAGCGACGACTCAATTGAGCAAACTCGTCGGACGGACAAGCAAACAAGCAAACACTCACGAAACTCCAGGATGATGGGGTCTCGGATCTCGGCAGGCAGCTCGTTCCACTTGGGCGGTAGGGCCCGCAGTCGTTTGACACGCGTCTTGCCCGAGCTCGCGCTGTTGAGATTGGGACAGCCGGGCAGCGGGCAGGTCGTGTACCGGCCGCGTACCGATTTGCACCGGCAGCTATTGCAGACCCTGGCTCCCGTGGGCACCTGCTCCTCACGAAGCCCGTAATACGAGGCGTGACTACGGGGCAACGGCCTGCTCTGGCTTCCGGCTTCGATAGTCGTCTGGCAAACCGCGCACGGATGCGGCCCCAATTGACGGCCCCCGCATTCTACAATTAAATTAAAAATTTATTAGCTCAGCTTCGCCAATTGTACGTGTAATTATATGTATACATCTTGACTTTGTTACTGCATCAGATTCAAGCGATTCGACATTTTTGTCGTGAAAAAAGAATTTATTGTGATATGAGCCGAAAAGTTCCACCAGCGCAGAGTACGGACAACACACGTACGGGCAAATCAAATAGAGAGCGAAGCCAGGAGGACTGCTCGATCGTATCTGCGAGACAATTGGAATATGACATTACGGGGGAGTACATTGAAATCACACGAAATCGCTACTAGCTGCCACATGCAAGCAATCACCGTTATGAACTCTGCTGTGTAATTGCTTTTTTTCTCTCTCTCTCTTTTTATTTATTTATTATTTTTTTTTTTTTCATTCATTTCCGGCCAAAGTGCTTCTTCTATCGTGGTTATTTGTACACTTTTCAGGTCACAGGAGAGATAATGTCGCGATACCTTTGTACGCGCGCACACGAACACTCGACCGGACACCGTAATTGTTGTAACGGATACATCGGGTGCAAGGGGAGGGGGCGCGTAATCGATACTTTACATTTCAACGTTTTAATACCGAGTAGTGCCAGAATTGTAATCAAGATAAAAATTGCAGATTAGAGGGGCAGCGTGCACCGTTTTATTTCAAAAATACTATTTTTTTTTCCGCGCAATATACGCGAGCCCACTAACGAACTTTGGATAATTGCGCGTGCGATTCTCGTTTCATTTTCCGGAAGTCCATCTTCAATTTTTATATCACCACGAAAAACGGAAAAAAAAAGGGGTAAGGCAGGGGGGTAGGTAAGTAAAAAACCACAAAGTGCGAGAGAGAGAGAGAGCAATACGCGCTGATTTTTTCGCATTCGTGAGAGGTCCGAATGGCAGGAAATGAAATACATCGCGCAGAGCAAGAGCGAAAAGGAATAATTAGCCCGCGGGTGGCGGGCCGTTTAGTAACTAATTAGGAATTGCCAATTAAAAACTTCCCTCCCGCGTCTCCGCTCGAGCCTTGATTGAACGCACACCGGTAGGTAATGTTTGTCGACCCCCCACCTCTGGCACTATACCGGGGGAGAGGAGGAGTGGCGAATATGCCAAATGAGCTCTTTTGCAGGCTTTTTCGCTGCTCCCGGGGCTTTTTATGTTCTTTGGATTGATAATTAAATAGGCCCTGGAGACGGTACACACTCATCTATAATTAAAAAAAAAAGCTCATGCACCTATGAGCGGTTGGACGTCCGATTCGCTGGACCGCTGTCAATTAATTTTATCCGCGAGCGCCAATAACGACGAATTATATCGCCAACAGTGATTATCCATGTACGAGGGAGGGCATCAATTATACGAAATTCGGAGGAAAGCCGAAAAGTTTCGGGATAGTGACGGCACGCCGCGAGCGGGAAAATTGATAAAGCCGTGATTGACACTGCGCGCAGAGGTGGCCCCTTTACCGTTATTTTCGACCTGCATCACGTATACATATATACCACCGCTGAATTTTTGCCCATACATGGGTACACACTCCGGTGATGCTGCGCTCGTCGCAGTGTGTGTGTGTGTGTGTGCACGGATATGCGGGTGTTTGCCGTCGATTAAGGGAACAGCGGCTCTGTCACTTTTCCGCGGGGGCGCCCGGAACATTCCAATAACACGAAATACTACAACCGGCCAATCAAATTTACAAGGTAAACGCCAACCCTCTCTCTCTCTCGACCCTTGATGCCGTCCGGACCGGCTACTGCATCAGGGGTGCATACGCATATGCGCGGGTCTTCGTTTTCTCGACTATCCAACTGTGGCTATTATCTTAATGGATTTTTGCGTTTTTCATTTTTTCTATATACATTGAAAAAATAAACTGATTTCTTTTTTTTTTTTATCATTATAACTCGACTGTTGGAGGTTTTAAATAAGTATACTAATAAATGTTTTATTTTTAAAGAGTCATGTCGAGAGGTTTTCGAAACTTTATGTATAGCTAAGAGCGTCACTTTTCGCGGTTGTCAATCACGTAAATCTCACAACAGCGCACCTATTATGCCTTCACAAAAGAGTACACTTGGTATCATCGCGATCTAGTTTTTTTTTTTTTTTTTTTTTTTTTTCGACACACTCGCCCAACTGCTTGAAAAGTGGAAGAAAAAAAAAAAAGAGAAAGCGCTCCAAAAGTTCCCGGCTAAAACAATAAAGTGCGACCCGACCACCAAGACCCACTCAAAAGATAAACGAATGAAATAAAATGCGCGAGCGCGCAACGAGTTAGTACAGACGAAAGAAAAGGGGGGGAGGGGACTAATTAGAAGCCACGGGTCGAGGGATACGGCGATGAATCTTTGATATGGAAACGAAGAGAGTCTCGCCGAGAACATCCTTTTCCCGGCAAAGGAAGGACGGACGCTGAGCAACCGAGTGTGGATCTTTCGTACTCCACTGCCGCCAGCTCAACCAGTGTCAATATCATTTTTTTTTATATCTTTGTCTCTCTCTTTTAGTGATGTTTTACCCTTTATATTATTTCTCTCTCTCTATTGTAATGAACAGGTGTAGAGTGTATCGCATTGTGCGGCCATTGTAACGCGGGCTGCACGGAGTTTGATCAAACATGCATCGGGCGAGGGTCGAGGCGCAAAGGACCCATTGTTTCTGCAAATTAACGTCCCTTTCGAGTAAAGGGCGCAGGAGGGAGGGAGGAGTATAAATTTTTTATATCGTGGTAACCCGCGCGCGCGGAGTCATCGAAACTCGCGGGCTTTCTTTTTTCCCTTGCAAAGTCTATACGCGGAAAAGAGTGGGTAAATTACAATGACCGAAGCATCCCGAGGGTTGGATGATTTAATCTTTCTCTTTTCCGTGCAAAGGGGAGTTATCAACGTTAAACGTAACAAGAGGCATATTTTTTTTTCTCTTCCTGCTCCGATGACGATTTCTGCGCGCTTTTGATGTCTCATCCGATGACTCTGATGATGCTGCTCTTAATTAAACGGGGAAAGAGCACGTTTCTCTCTCTCTCTTGCACGCGTTTGATTAATTTAATGCAAGTTTGCTGAAAACGTGTGTCTGGCATACTCTGTTTTTTTTTTTTTTTTTTTTTTTTTACCTTTGCATAATTATAAATCAACACAAACGCGTAAAGGTAAATTTTCGCAATAACTGACCCCCGACTGCACTATAAGGTTCAAAGGGGTTGACGAAAATAAACGCAGTAATAAGTTCCCGGCGAAATATCGAACGGAGCTCGCGATTCCCTTTGTGCGCCAGTTGTACCTCACCATCGCGCCTTATTTACTCCATGGGTGTACACTTTACCCGTGTCCACCCCTTCCCTTACTCCGACTCGCTATAAGCCCGTGTTATTATTATGAAGGAAGATGTGATGTAGGTACCCATAATACCCCTACACGTGCGCTCGATTTCGCGCGCCTATACTCAAAAGGAATATCCAACGAGGCAACGCCAATCAAGTACATATATACACATCCCAGAAGGAGGGCTTTACGCAACGTTTTACGTATGCACGCGCGTATAATCCAAAAGAGGGCCAATTACTATTTTCCTGCAGGGCGAGCCGGCCCATTAAGCATAACAGTTGCTTTTATCCCTGGCTTATGTAATTTTGCTTCGTTTTTTTTTTTTTAATTATTCATACGTATACGTATGGTATAGCTCCCGTATTTCGCTGATGACGGAGAAACGTGGGACTCGTCGAGCACCGAGAGCGAGGAGGCTCTAATACCTATGGGTGGATTTTCCGTGCTTCAAGTATAATACGTTTTTCTCTCTCCTTCGTTACCTGTTTACGCTACACTGCACCATCACCGCTATCCTCCTGCACATCTACGGTAAAAACTATACAGTTAATGCGACCGATGTTTCATTGCGCTGTACACACATACACTTTAATTTAATTAGACCAGCGTTGAATGCACGCGTTTTATCGCCATCGTTTCAAATTAACCTGACGCGCGGAGGCTCATCCCTTGTTATTATTTGAACGACGATGTAATAAGTATATGCACCAGCGTATTTGTACACGGACCAAAGTACCAAGTATCATTATGGCAGAATAATATATGCCTTTTAACCTCCTTTTGGGTTATATATATATATATATATGGAGACGGTACACACTC